CAAGAACAAGTAGGGTCGAGTGCAGAATAAAAATACAATAAAAATATCATCGATCAATATTGCTTTCCGGAGACCAATACAAACTTCAAGACATTTCGACCTTGGCCAGTTTACTTTAATATGGTCAAAACAATGGGACAGTTAATGTGGACCTGAGTAGTACCATGTAATCTTTCATACATGTTAGGATGTGTATACGAGACGGCAACTGATAAGCTGCTGCGGAATGGTATTTCGTCAGAGTCATTCGTCTGCAGTTCTCTCGTACAATGGCCGCACACTAAAACGTAGTTATTGACGTTAAAGTATGCATTCAGGTCACCTGTCGAAACACAAAATAATTCGCCATGATGAGTTCATTTTTCGTAGAGGTTGGGAGAAAAAGCGCGTAGGATTAACACTACATAAGGAGATTCCAAAAACCGTATTTTCCCTCATGCCTCTGCGTTATGAAGACGCGACGTTTTATGAGCAAGTCTTAGCGCGGTACGAATGAACGTCAAACGAAAGGAAGTGGAAACGTGCGGAGACGCAGCGAAGATACCGGCTGAATCGGCAAGAAAGAGCTGCGATGGACTACAATCGTGCTTCTCGCATTCGTTTGGGTTAGAGAACTTCAAGTTGTTTTTGATTTTGTCGTCCAACTTTGAACTCATCAGTAACGTTGCTCTTTTTCAGTAACTTGATCATTTTGGAATCTACTTTGTTTTGACTCAAATGATTGTCACTGATATAAAACGCGGCTGCTTCGCCATTTAAAATTAGCTTCCATAATTCATGAATACTTCTGCAAATTCCTTGTCAAATTGTATTGGACTGAATTCAATTGTGTAGGACTCTGCTGCTGGTTTAAAGACTTGATGACAACGAGTTGTGAAATGTAGTCCATATTGATGAGAAATGGTTTTACATCACGAAACTGCGCCGCTGCTTTTACCTCTGAGCCGATGAAGACAACCCGCCGAGACATGTCCAATTCGAGAGCTACATCACCAAGGTGATGTTTTTGGTTGCTGTTGCTCGATCACTTAGCTGATGGGATGGCAAGGGTGGATGTTGGTCGTTATTTCAAGAATGCCTGTCCAACGATCAAATGTTAATCGATCCGCAGGTACAATCGTTACCGCCGCCGTCAATGTAACAAGACAGGTCTATCGATCGTTCTTGGTTGACAAAGTACTTCCAGCGATCAAGGCCAAGTGGTGCTGGTTGACAAACGACAACGAGAAACATACAATGCCCGTGTCCACGTGACCTTCGATGACCCACAAGTTCTGCGTGCTGCTCAGCACTCGGAACCAGCCTCCCCAGACCCCAGATCAGAATGTTTTGGATCTGGGCTTTTTCAACTCAATCCAAGCGCTTCAGCAAACGATGGAGTGCAGGACCATCGACGAGCTTGTTCTGGATGTGCAAACTTCCTTTAGTGCATTGTCGACTGCGAAGTTGGAGAAGACCTTTGGCACGTTGGATCGAGTTGATCGTGCAATTGTCGAGGCAAAGGGCGGTAATATGTACAAGATCCCGCGGAGTAAGGAAAGGGGTGAAGATACGATCGACGAAGACGCATGGCGAGCTTGCAATTGGTGAACCTTCGTTTAGTAGAGGAAAGTAGGTTGGATGAGTTGTGTGATCTTGTAAACACCATTGCCGTTTAGTGTTTTTATTACAGATACTTTGTACTTGAATTTTGTATGCATTTGAATTTTCGTCTGCGATTGTTCCAACCAGAGGGTCCCTGATTGGACAATACTCTCATGCCCTCGGTCCAATCATAGATTGGAGTCATTCACTGTTAACGGCGTTCCAATTACTACTAGTATTATACTAGTAGTAGTAAATTGCTTAGTACAAGTACTTAGTACTACTTTGTCGAATGTTGGAACCGGCATCGTTGGGAAGCATCACATCAAGCATGCGGCGATCGATTGTAGTCGTGTACAAGCAGGCACGGACCCGAGTGGTGTGGTACGACGGCACGTCCGATGCGATGGTCGAGAAGGCGGTATGCATGCAGCTTGGCCTTCCACCAACGTCGTCGTTGCTTCTAAAGGATATGGATGGGGAACTCGTGCCGATAGCAGCGTGTCTCCCACCCAACGACTACGTCGTCGTGCGGTTTGGCGACGTCGGTGGGAACCAAATACCTTCCAGCATCACCCTGACGACAGATGAAACACCTTCTTTGTCCAATGTACTGTTGCCCACTCCAACACCTGAAGCGATGCAGGAGCGTGTTGGCCCACTGGGCAAGATGCTGCCTCGCATGAAACGCGCCGCAATACCCATGGCCTCCAAGGCGATGAAGAAGACCGCACCCACCGTTCTCATGAAGCTATTCCTGGAAGCATTCACCGTACGACGCTGCTTTGACATCGCCACGCTAACCTTGACGTCGTAGGTCCCCCTCGCTCCCGACGACGTGATCCATTTCATACCAAATCATGGCGATTTTGGCATTGACAAGCTGTACGCGGCACTCGTCCCGGCCATGTTCTTGCCCCAAGACACGACAACGTTCTACAAACTCGCGTCGTCGTCCATCGTGCTCGATCGGCAACGAGTGATTCGATACTATCGCGTTGGCGATGAATACACACAACTCGCGGCCATGGGCAAAGGGCCTCTCCTTCGCGCGTACGTCGATCCGTCGAAGCTTGCATTACCTCCGCACAACGACCTCGTCGCTCTGTTCGCTTTGGCTTTGGACATGCCCGACGCCACGGACTCGATTGCGCGGCAGTACGCGGCCTTTGTGCACGGATTCACACCGATCTCCCGAATGGAATTTATTTCTGGCAGCGCGTGATGTCGTACTATACTGAACTCGTGCCGCGCTGGTCTCGTTTATGATAATGGCACGGATGGAACCACAAGGCAAAACGGACGACTGAAGCGCATGGACAGCGGCGTCGTGAGCCCTTGCCGTTCTCCGCCGCAACCACGGTACTGCAGCGAATGATCAAACCCTGGTCCGCCGACCAAAGACACGCTGCCGGTGGCATCTCCACTGACGGCAGACTTTTTTTTCGTGCTGCCGTGTGCGCTCCGACTGTCATCGCCAGACTGACAAAGCCCCAATGTCGCCGCCCGTGGCTTGGCGTGTTCGCAGTTATCGAAGCCACGTTAGGCTTACGGGTAGCTCACACCGGTCTTCATGGTCAGTGACATGGCGAAGGTACGCGACTGTGCCTACAAAAGCCAAGATGACACGAAGCAGGACACCACTGCTGGAGCGTCTGCCGCACCCACGCAAATTTTGGTGGGCCACGATGGAATACAACGGCCTGGGATGCGGCCGAGATGAAGCCGCCGAGTTCAAAACTATCGCATGTTGATGCGAGGGGGTTGTCGTATTAAAAGCTATCATGCAATTCATTCGGATGCGGGGTGTGGACAGCGCGATCGTCGACAGTCGTGATTGCCTTCACGACGAGTAGTGGGGACAGTGGCTTCATCTCTTCCTCTTTGAACTGGAGCTCGACATCGAGCGCTTCGACAACGTTTTCGTCATCGTCTTGTTCCGAGAATCGCGGCGTGCACGGTCCGTCCATGCTCTCCGAGTGACGGATTTCATACTTTGGGGCGCCAGGGCTCTTTGGTGTAGACGTTGCATTGGATGCCGTCGAGTGCCGACTCATGTTTGGCGATGCCTCGACGTGCACAGACGGAGAGAGATTGCGTTTCGTAGGAGGCGACACTGGAATTGCCACGGGGGAATGAGGCGGCGTCGACGCGGCTGAAGACATGGGTGGTGGCGAGTACATGCTGCCTTCCGAAGGATCATCAAGCGCGAGGAGACTCGCAGCGGCAGCGGCGGCGGTCGGCGTGATGATGATCGGGCTCACAGGGGCGCCAGGGGGTTTCTTTGGGGCAAACGGCGACTTGGTTTCTTTGTCTGTGCACACCCAGATGCGAAGTGTCTGGCGGTCGGGCTCGTTCGGCTACACATAAAACACAATTAACACGATAGACCAGACGACGACGTTCCGCCATGGAGACAGCGAAGTCGTGCGGCCCAAAACACGGGCAGAGGGTGCCGAGGGCCGGACCCTCGACATCACAATTCACAAAATGAAGACAGATCGTCGACCGGACGCCATCACGCTGGACAAAATGCATATCGTCATACCGGCACAAACCACTCCATCGAGACTTCCATGTCCTGGCGTTCCGTCAGCGCAGGCATCAAGAGCGAGACAAAGCGCGACCGTGTCGAAGGGTGCACGTGCGGAATCTCAATGCCGCGCACGGCGAGTTGGCCGAGCGTGTGGCCGTTCACGACGCCGCAGATCCAATTCGCGAGGAACTTGAATTTGTCGACTTGACCACGGCACACGTTTTCCATGAGCTCGGAAAAAACTTCCTCGGGTACGCGGTGCTTGCACAACTCAAGCATGGTTTCGACCTGGTAGTCGTTCTTGACCTTTTGCAAGAGCTTGGACGTTTCAAAGCCATGGATGCCATTGCGGTAACACGTCGAGCACAGGTGGTAGTTGGCGCAACTCGAACAGGTGAACATAGACCCGACGATGGGATCCATCCCGCAGCCATCGCAGAACGAGTCAGGGTGCACGGGGACCTGATCCTTGCCCTTCCCCACAGCCTGGAGCACCTTGGCACCCCAATACTTGCCAACGGCCTGGACACGAGAGTTGAACGAGCCCCGACGCACAAATGGCGCCGCGGACGCGACTGTTCCTTCCTGTGGAGGATCTTCTTCTTTCGGTTCTGACTCCATCCACACCGCGGCCCGCGTCTTATGAATCTTGCGCTCCGCGTGGAGCACAGGTTTGTCGTCGATCGTGTCGCACTCGGTACGAGGGCCAAAGAACAAGTGGATCGGCTCGACATGGGGTTCTGTACCAAGTTGGCGGTTTAGTTCTTCCACAGGTAAATCTACTGAGTTTCCGCGGCGCTCCCGTCGCTCACCCAACAGGGAGAAGCGCGCTGCCATCGATGAGACCAGACGAAGAATCGATGGTCAGGTCGCCCGATACACCGTCGACAGTGAGAAAGATCGAGCACGTAATCAGGTTTCACAGGAAACGTTATTCATTCTAAGAGAATAGTCGTCAAAATCCTGGATAAAGCGCGTTTTATCGGCGTCCATAACATGTGGCAAGTGCCCAAGCAGACCGGCCAATGTAGCCATGTCATCCCCAAAACGTGGTTGCATGGGCGTCAACGGTGGATTTTCCCGAAGGCAACGTCAAACGATGGGCAATATCGTTATCAAAACAGTCGGACTTGCAGTTCCGGCGTCACGGTTCGCGTACTGCATCATGTCACACCCGTTCTCCAGCCTCCAGCCATTGTGCGTTTTTATGTTAAACGTCATGAAGGAGATAGTGAGTTTATTGACACAAGTGGTGAAAACCACATCACTCGGGGGGTTGGTCGAACGAGCTGCTCTCACCAGCGTTGTCGCAGCAACTGCCCCATGAAAAGCAACAGCACACGTTTGAGATGACCCTGCGCCACGGCAGTACTGCGCTCCTCGTCGTACTTGACCGCATTCCAATCGTGTCTGGCTTCGCTATCGCAACATGCAGTTCGGGTTCTCCGAATTGACTCGACGGGATTGCAGATTTGTTGTCACATGGCCCTGGAGGGACGACGTTCGTGTTGTCTCCACCAGTTCAAATATCTGAGCTCGACCGGCGTGGCGCTTGGCGGTGTTTGGTCTCGTGTCCCGTGCACGTGGCGCCCTCCATCGGGTACACTCGTCTCGGACGCGTTGACTTGTGAACATCCATTATGCATTTCGATTGGCTGAAATGATATGAAAAACGTTCGTCCATCCAGTCACATTGCAAGGTTTCAAAAAGTTGCGCCAATCCAATCCATGCGTCGTAAAGTCACCTTGAACCACGACGAGGATGTTGAAGATATATTTTTACGTGATAGAGGCATTCCTTTAGGATAAACCACTCACACTGTGTCGACTTTGCAGTCATCCAAACGATCCTCCCCGTCGGGGTGGATGGCGGCACGCGCGCAAGTGCACGGGTCGGTCTATCTTGTACATTCTCGTGTCGGAGAAGCACTGTTTCGACGAGAAGTGCACCCATTTGTGCATGACGCGGAAAATCAACATCATTCCAAGGGAATTCCTCGTACAATGTGATGATGGTGCGTTGCTTGGACATCTCTCATGCGACTTTGTCGACCCTCGGACTTGCTCAGCGTCAGTCCCTGCATTGGGGCTTATGCGAAGCGCAAATCACCCCAAAAAGTACACTTAAAATCCATACACAAAGCCAAAGTCCTCGTCCACCATCCTGATAACATTTGGGAGAGAGTGCGTGATTTCAAACAAATATCGAATTTCAAAGGTTTCTGAACTGCATGTCAATTGACAGGTTCTTCCGTTTAAAGAATGTGTTTAAAACAGAATGTTGGTTGCGATGTGAAGATCGGCGATGGGCTCTGTCCCCAACATTCCGATGACGGAAGTGGGGCGGCGTGCGACGACGACGCTGTACGAGAATGGCCGAGTGTGGCAGTGGACGCCCCGCGCGCCAGGGGGAAAACCCAGTGACCCTCGCGACTTTGCCGGGTACGCGTCGTGGTTCACTACGTCTGGCTCGACGATCTCGGTCGTCGGCCATGGCGAAGTGCCGCAAGAGGTTCGCGCAAATGCGTCAACAGTCGTCGACTTGCAAGGACAAGTTGTTTTGCCGGGGCTGCATGACTCGCACATTCACCTGTACCACATGGGAGAAGTTGCACACTACGTCGACTTGCGAGGAACGTCGTCTTTTGCAGACTTGGCTGCCCGTGTAGTCGCGCATGCGTCCAAGTTTCCGCTCGCCGACTGGCTCGTCGGGTTCGGATGGGAACAAGACAAGCTGTCGGTCCCTGCGCGGTACGTTTTGTTTTTCCCTCCCTCCGCGTCAGCTCACCGGTGGTCAGGTACCCCACTCGAGCCGACCTGGACGCGATTCCCGTGAACCGACCCATCTACTTGTGGCGCGCGTGCTTCCACATTGCCGTGGTCAACTCGAAAGCGCTGGACGTAGCTGGCTTGGACACATCTCCGCACCCTACGTGGGCTCAATGCGGTGGGGGTGGTGTTGTCGACCTCGACTGCGAGGGAATTCCCACCGGTATCCTCCGGGAATCGGTACATGGACCGGCCGTCCGCCGTCTTTGTCGACATTCTCAATCGTTGACCTGTTGTAGGCCGTGAATCTTGTTCAAAGGTGCATTCTTGAGACGTCGGACGGTGCGTTCTGTGGCTTGATTGTGGCCAATTCCATCACCAACACGGTGACTGTCGACTGGTTCGTAGCCGTGCGCACGCAGTACCTTCAACTTGGATTGCAAACGTGCTTGGAATTTGGGCTCACAGGCACGAATGGTCCTGTGACATGGTCTCATGCATTCCCCACTTAGGCGTGCAGACCAACGATGCGCATTGCTTGCCGCTGTACCATGCCCTCCAAGCGTCCAACCAACTTCCCCTGCGCGTGTACATGACACCAGACCACAACGAAATCGATCCACATCATCACGGGTGTCTCGACGTCGGCGGGCCATTTCAACACGACTTGATCACGGTGGACCGCGTCAAGCTGTTTGCTGACGGAAGCCTTGGGGCTGTACGTGTCAACATCTCGATCTGGACCATTCACCGAATGACGGCAGGAGACAGCGGCGCTGCGCCAACCCTATCGTGACTCGACCAACCAAGGAATCCTCGTGCACACGAACGATGACATGGTTGCCAAGATTCGCATCGCCCATGACGCTGGCTACCGCGTCGAAATTCATGCGATCGGTACGCTCTGCATGGCCAACGGCCATGTATTTTTCAACACTGGTTGCAGGTGACAGAGCCGCCGCGCAAGTGCTGGCGGCAATGGCCCAAGTGCCAGGGATTGATCGCCCCCTCCTCACCCACTGCCAGATCCTCGGACCAGATCTTCTGGAAACCATGGCAGCCCTCGGCGTCGTCGCCAACATCCAGCCGTCCTTCGTTGTCACGGACGCGACGTTTGCATCGAAGCGTCTGCCACCATCGCTGCTGCCGTACTCGTACTGCTGGTACACACCCTGTTGGTTTGGCTGATATCCCGGGTGCTATCGTCTGGGACTCTCGTGCATTGTGAGAGCTTTGGCGCTGTGATGTGTGGTTGAGCAGTCGCGGACGGAATGCTTGAAATTTGATGTGGTCTGCTTGCCCGTATGCCGTCGACTCGCTCTGTCATCGTGAAATGACATTCAACTGTGCATGCCAAACGTGACACTTCGTGCAGGCAAAAGATGATCGATGCTGGAATTGTGTGCGCCGGTGGAAGCGATGCCCCCATCGAAACCAGCAACCCGTTTCAGGGCATGTACGACGCGATGCACCGCACCGCGCCGCTGGACGATCCACTGGAATGCCTCAGCTTTCCCCATGCCCTCCAGCTGTACACCCTCAACAGTGCGTTGATACGGGACATGGATGCACAGACAGTGGCGCTCCATCGTGCACGGTTCTAGGCGCGTACGCCGCCAAGGAAGAGTCCCGACTGGGCGACATCACGCCGGGATTTCAAGCCGACTTTGTCGTGATCCAGTACGATCCAATGGCCGAGGAATCGACCAAGCTGCTTGCGTCCGACATTGTCCAGCGCGTGTTTGTCCAAGGCATCGAACGCTTCAACTCGACGACGACCCCGAAATCCCCCCTCACGGTCCAAGCCAGTGGCCTTCCTGGCAAAAAATGGCAAAATCCGCATCTGCCGCTGCTGCCGCGTCTAGGTTTTGGAGCCGGCGATGCGCCGAGCTTGCTCGCTGGCTGCACATCGCATCCGTCAGGTCAGTCAGGTAGTAGTACTAAGAAGGGTACTAACTCGTTTCGTCAAACCTTCGAAGTACATACTAGTACCAGTACTACAGTTACTCCTAGTAGTGCCATTAGTACTATCTCGTATACTCGGAGTACATGTTTACGGCTCGAATACAGTATACCAGTATGTGTTTATTATTACTACTTCACATATGTGCTTCGTACCGACATGCATGGTTAGTAATACTAGTCAGGTCGATGGACAACTCGAAAAATCGTCATGCGCAATGCCGTTGCCAGGCACAACGTCGACACGACGCTCGTGCGGTGAAATTCTGCATGTTGTCTCTGCGTGCACGCGCAAAGCCGGTGGAAGTCACCTTGTCTCCACGATGATCTCGCCATATCTTCCCCGTGACCTGCACATAGGAATGCTATGGTCGCCATGAATCCGATCAGGGTTTGTCGGGGCACACGGCCAAGCTATACTACTACTACTCGTGCACAATGTGATCGAGATCATGAGCATTCATGTGCCAATTCAGACTCGACATGGTTTGGCTCCATGCACACTCCATGTTGCAAAGGCATGTCTTCGTTAGGACACCGACGGGCGAGGCGGCGCTTCGTACGCGTCCAACGTGATGGGCTTGGTCGGGTCACACGCGGCAGACCCGGTCGTCGGTGAACAGTCCATTTGGTCGCCGGGAAGGGACCCTTCGACTTGAAAGTTCACGGCCTTGGTCCAGCACGTGCGGACAGCAAGCAATCGGTTTTTCTTTTCCGTGTCGAATTTGGAGCACAAGACCGCGACTTTCTTCGAGTACAAGCCCGTGATTTGGTCCAACGTTGTGGTCGCTGTTTCGGCGGCCCACGTTGCGATTTGGTTCGATTGAGTCGTCAAGCGCTGGGTGACGTCAAGCGTCGATTCAAAGTAGTCTTTGGCGGTCCCAATCGTCTTCGTACGCGCGGTAGCAGATGCCGTGCTTCTGGAACTCGTGGTTGTACGAGTGGCACAGGCCTTCGGCCGACGAGTTGACGGCAGGGTCGACCCAGAGCTTGTCCATTTCCGCAAACAAGTGCGGGTACTTTGTCTGGAATGTCGAGGCGTTGAATGGTTTGTTGGACACAACGTCGGACACGTTGCAACAGCCAGGGTACCCGTTGTTGTAGTTGGGCCACAGCCCGTGGACGTACAAAGCGCTCGGGGTGCGGCGCACGTCGCACTGGATGCCCACGGGGTACGGGTTCACGTTCTGGTGTGTGACGGTCGAGTCTTTCCCTTTGAGCAGGTCGCGGCAGAACTGGGGCGCAAAGATCTGGTCGAAAACGAGGTAGTCGTAGTCGCCTGGGCGCTGCTTCTTGCTCGTGCATGCCGTGTCGGACGCGTTGAAGCAGCCGGGCGTGGCCTTGGAGTTTTTGCAAATGTCGACGCATTGCTCCTTGCCAGGCAACCACCCCCCGGGGTAGTCGATGGCAGCGACAGAAGCGAACGCGGCGGCAGAAATCGTCACGAATGGAAACGTCATGGCCGACGCAAATGGAGAAATGATCCCCGCGAGTGGTCCTTTCTCAACGTGATGAATCACACGACAGGAACCCGATGAGAGTTGTCACATTGGCAACAACTGCGCATGGACCAGACACAATCGACGGCATTTCGCAAGATACGTTGGACGGGGCAAGATACAGCCCTCGCGTGTGGATGTGAAAGCCACCCGATAATATCCCTCGTTAGTCAGCTCCACGAAGAGCCATAGAGTCAATGCGAGGACTGGTCCTTGTTTCGAAGAACAGCCAAAGCATGAACGATGCAGCGTTGGAGCAAACACAAGCATCCCGGCCACCGCCCTAGAACAGGCTCGTGCGCGCAGCGTTACGACCAAGATCGAGCTTGAAACACGGCGCTTGGCGGTCTGAAAAATCAGGATTTTCTAGACTCACCACCTATCGAATACCTATTCATGTCAACATGCGACACCTCCTTCAGCGACAAATCGAATCATAAATATTCCCATGCGTGGTCGACACGTTGGCGGGAGTTCTTCGCCCGTGATCTAGCAACAGTCCACATGCATCGACTGCCTGGTCAAGCATGCCTGGCGATGGGGGAAAGGTCGTGGTGCCGTCGCACGATATCTTGGTTGGGGTTGTGCCTGAAAAGGCCATTGCCACAGATATGGTGCGACAATATCCTTGGCATGGCATCCATCGTCATTCAAGATGCCACCCGAGTTGGTGTGCATGACAGGAAGTACAATGTCGGATAAAGTAATATTTGCAGCATCGACTTGGCTCGTGGCTGTGTGTACAGGGCGAATGCACCACGCAAGCACTCGGTGGCTGCCTTCCATTCAGCTTCTTCAGTACGGTCGAATCCAAATCACGTTGTGCTAAGAGTGACTCCATCCGTAAATGCTGACTGCGTTGCCAGGACGCAATATGCCCTCGGGCCAAGCCCAGCCACACTGCTTGGGGTGCATGATATAGTTTTGTAAACTGTACGACTGCAAAAAGCAACGCCCCCTCGCTTATTTACTCGGTGACAACGATGATGCCTGAGAGTTCTTCGATTTCGTTCGTCAGCAACTCGATCAGTTCGACGTCCTTGTCCCGTGTGTTGAACCACTTTTTCAGTCGCGAGTCGAATTCAAAGCGCTTCGGACCACTGATCGGCGACGACCACCAGATTTGTTTGTTGGGCCCTTGCTTGTTGAGCACCCACGTGCCATCTTCGCCCAAATTGATTGTCAGGACCCCTTGCTACAGTTCGACCAAAATGGTTGTTGGGACAGTCGTTGGTCGTGTCAAATTCTCTTACCGAAAGCGTGATGTCCGCATCTGGCAAGATCGCTTCAATGCCATCCATCATTTCAAGGATCGAGTTGAGGGTGGCTTCGCTGTGGCGTGCAAAGTCGGAATCCGACAGGTTGGACATTCCCTCAGCCGGCGGATCTGACGAAAAGCAGCGGCTCTGGATCAGAGTTGGCACGTGGCCACGAGATCGAATGGGCAGTGCCACTTGGAGCGGTCGCACATGTGCACCAACGCGCATCGCCGATCGAGCGGCACCATACCGCAACGCGCGCAGCATCACGCCCGCACCAGCCATTGCAACGAATGTGGCAATCTTAATTGTCTACATACTGTGATGCCATTGGCTAAAATATATCCAATCCTGAGCAACGAAGACTAACGTCCATTGGCTGCATGTGGATCTTTCACGGCCACAAGAAGCCACTTCGAGTGCGATCTATTCAAGGGACGCACTCGTTGGAAAAGGCTTTCTCAGTGTGATGCTGGATCACGTACTCGCAAAAGCACAGGCTGTCCATGCTGACTCATGATACGGTTGCACAACCACAGCAAAGGAGGCACTTTCTCTTTGGAGAATGAAAGGTTGGGCGAACTTGACAGGAGCACTGACTTGCATGTTTGGGAGCAGTTCGTCGAGCAAGATCCATGGTGACTTTCATACTGTTAACGCAAGATGTAATTAACTTTTGTCAACCCGCCCCCCCCCCGCTCCCCAAGAGCTGGGTTGGATGCGAAGGGAACGTGGGGCATTCATGTGTGACAGGCGACATTCACAACTCCAGATCCCGACCATCACGTTGTTTCGACGGCTAGAGTACCTTCCCTACCTTGAAGAGAAACCAAGTACGAAGCAGGTCACCGTGGACTCGTACGTTGAAATGCCATGTTATGCTATCGGGCAGGAACTGAAACCCTCTGGGTGCTCCAAACACGAATTATCGTGCAAGTGTTGAAGTGCACACATACCAAATGTCCGTGACCTTTCGCAGGATTGGAATGTTCTGTAACTGCCATGAGGCCACTTCACTTTGCATCAGGACGAACGTCGTCGCGACGTTTGTTCGCATGGACTGGCAAGCGAATTTGGACGCAATCATCAAGTGCACCGATGAGAATCTGCGGCATCAATTCGAGACGTACAAGTTTCCGTCGCCTACGCCATTTCTGCGACCACCCAACCAGTACAATTCCGTGTCATTCCACCCAGCGTCTCCTACAATGCAATATCAGCCACCTCCACCTACACCGCTGCAGCCCCCAGCGTCCCAGTCGAAGCCTTCTTTTGTGCCGCCGCCACCTCCACAAGACAACAATGCTTCACCCTCTGACTATGCTTCCTCGTTTCACCATCAACAAGTAGGATGGAGCGCATTTTGTGGACTCGGCTCAAGTATTCACATCTTGCGATAGACGTACAACTTGGCGCACATGATGGAGCAAGTTCGCTACAGCATCAAGCTCGAAGTCGACGCACGCGCGGCCGTCGCTGAGCGACAGCTCAGCGCCATCATGGCCCTGACCAAGTCAAACTCGGATGAACTAGATCGCCTGCGTCTGGAAGCCAACACGACGGACCGCGAAGTGCGTGGCCTCGACCAAACGCAACAGAAGCTTCGGCAAGACATGACGACCCAAAAGGACATTATGTACCACGTGCAGTCGATGGCAGGGAAAGACGAGTCGTGGCGCTTGCAGGCGGACAATCAGCTGCTCGAGTTGCGCCAGATGATTGCCGCGCTGCGCGAACAGCTCAACTCGTTGCAGGTGACCATGCAGGAGAAGCTGAGTCGTCCTGAGTTACTCGTGCATTTCAACGCGTGCGTCGAGCCACTCAAAGCTCAACTGAACGCTGGCATTCAGCACCAAGGTACCACACAACTCGTTCACCAGGACTCGATCCACGATGCGCTTGTAGCCCAAGTCATTGGCGAACTGTCGCGAAACGGTGCCACGCACAACTACGTTGTGGAGAGCATGGAAAAGCGCATCAGGGATATGGACACCCAGATGCAAACGATGAAACACGATGTGGAAGCCATCGGGAAGCGCCACTTCCCAGACCTGCCACAAGCCCGATGTGATCTGCAGCCCCCTCCGCCGGAGGGTGTGTCGGTGGTTCAGGTGCATGCAATTGTCGAGGAGTTATGCCGTGACAAGATTGACGTCTTGGACACAAAGTGGACGGTACAACACATTTTCGACAGCACAACCACGCGAGCCTCGCTCAATCGCGGCTTCTGTTAGGCTGCGTACGAGTCGCATCGCTGTAAAGTTCAAAGCGCGTTGGACGAAGTGGAAGTGCGGTGGGAGCAATTACGCCACGATCTCGCGTCCAAAGCAACGACGGACCTTGCACAAGAGATTTCCAAGGCAAGAAAAGTGCTCTTGGTGCGATGAGCTAACGAGCGCGTGCATCGTTAGCTCGACTGCCGTGTGCACGAAGGACACGACGCAACGAAAGCTCTGATTGCCCAAGCGGCGCTGTCCTCAACGCAGACTATCCGGGACGAAGTGGACAAGGAAAAATGCGACCGAAAGCGGCAGATCGAGACCTTGACGGACCAACTGATGCAGCTCAAGTACGCGACGCAAGAGAGCATGCACAAGGGGCTGCACGACGTGCGGAGCGAAATCAAAGCAATCATGGCAGCGCACGACAAAGACGTTCAAGGGGTTTGTTTGTCCATTGTTACCAAGGACGTACCGTCCATCGTCCGCAAGGAATGCGCTGACTGGCAGGAAAAAGTCGCGGTTGTCCAGAATGACATGGCCAAAATCCGACACGATCTGATGCAAGTGCGCCTGGACGTGGACAAATGTGCGAGTGCCACCGCGACGTGCCAAAGCGACCTTGTTTCGTCTCGAAAAGACATGATGGAGCACCAACTTGCTCTCGGCAGTATGGCTACCGACGTCGCATCGTTCAAGAGCGTCACGGACAACGCTATGCGAGACGTTCGAGGACAACTCGAGTCGACGAAAGGCCAGTTCGACGTGGTACACAAGGATCGTGTCGAAACGGAACGAACACTCCAGAGACGGCTCGAGCAAGACATCACAACTGGCGTACGAAAAAGCGTCGAGGCATTGGAACAAGAACTTCGCCGGCTGAATACTCGACTGGATGATGCAATGAAAGCCGAACACACTGCACCTGTCGGTGCAGCGCCCCTCATGCCACCGCCACCAGGGTGTGGATTTTGGCCCCCCCACATGTTCATGATGGCGCCCCCTCACCCCAATTCCATTGCTGACGGCTCCAAGGTTGGTGGTGGACCCATGGGGCATGGCTACTATCAGCCATATCAATCGTTGTTTCACTTACACCCGTCTGGACAATTTGGAACGAACGACCAAAATCAAAGCCCGGTGCTGACTCACGCTGCTGCTCCAGCTCGAGTATCAGTGCCCCAAGCTCCACCGATATCGACTTCTGCCGCGAAACAATCCAGCGACCCGACTGCGAGCCCAGCCACGGACTCGATCGCCCAACTGTCGCCACTGCCAGGACATGTTACTCCTCCCCAAATAGCTCCGTCGACAACCCCATCGACCATTTCGTCCAAGATTTCTACGCCACCCGAGCCTGCCCAACACGCTCCAGCACCGACTCCATCAGCCAAAAATTCTCCTTCCGTCTCCGTCAAAACTATCCCTGAAAGCGAGTGTGCCCCGGCGCCGTTCCAGACAGAAAAGCCGACTACAACGTCAGCGCCACCCATTGTTGTGGGGATTGCAGCGACATCTTGTCCAGTGGCTTCGCCGGCGCTACCTATGCAGTCCCCCGCGCCAATTCATGCCTCAGTTATAACAGGCGCCTCCGTTACTTCTCCAGCGGCGGCACGAACAGCATTAGTGCAGTTCAGCCAACCACGGATGGACTCGCCACCTTCGGTACCTCCACTTTCCCATACTCAAGAAATACCAACGGAGCATCCATCCGCCACAGCGAGCGTGTCACCCGAGCCTGTGCCGAAATCCATCCCAACTCAGCAAATCGAGAAAGAGCCCGCAGCTGGGACATCACCTCCTCAAGGCATTTCCAGCTCGAACACAAACAATCCACCTTCATCCATTCCGTCGAGTCCCCCTGTGACTCAACAGCCCCTAGTTCCAGAAAAGCCGACGTCATCACTAAACAAACCTCCTCCTCCAACAAGCCCACCCCCTCTGCAGGCTTCTTCGGCCACAAGTGCCAACGTAGCTCCTCCTCGAGTTACGAGTACTTCAGTGCAGCCGCCTTTACAAATCCCCCCACCGTCGCCAAACCCAGTGCAACCTCCTATCGCAGCAACTTCACAACCAACATCGTCCCCGTCGTCTGCGCTGCATCGGCAAGCGTCATCGCCATCCCTATCAACGCCACCTCATAACGCAAAAGACTCGACCAAAGCTCCTACCATTCTCGACGATCCTTCGATGAAAGGCGCGTTGGCGGAAGCAGAGCTTGCCAAGGCCCGCGTCGAGAGTCGCCTTCGAATCGAGGTACACCATTCACAGCTTTCAGCGACTGACGGGGGCATTGCAGCGCGAGCGCCGTCATACGTTGGGCGGAATGTCGTCGCCCACTGCAGCCGCAGATGCCAGCGCCAGGTCGATGGTCAACGCCTTGAGTGGCGTGGAACGGTGTTCGCAGTGCAACCAAGAGATTTCTAAAGTGTTGAAACATGAACACGATCAACAGCAGTGTCCGATGCGCATGCAGGTTCGTTGCGGATCTCGGCGGGGTGCTGGTACTACTACATGTCTCGTAGACGTGCCCTACCTGCCAGCAATCTTTGCGTGCCAAGGACATTCCAGGTCACTTGTGTGACAAGCCACTGGCCAAGTGCAGACACTGCCTCGCCGACGTTGTCGATGTGGCCGACCATGAAACCAAATGCGAACACGCGTTGAAGCAATGCCCCCATTGCCTGCGTCGTCAAAAGGTCTGCTGTTTTCTTGAGGTGGCTTTCGTGATGACGATCTGGTTTCTATCCTATTCTAGATGGCTGACTTGCAAGATCACATAAACAACTGCGACTGTCGCCTTGTTCAGTGTCCAAATGCATGTGGGGGGAAATTTCTCCAGCGTGGCCTTGAAAAACATGTTCTAACCAAGTGCCCCAAGCGGCCTCAGCCCACGACGACGTCACCGAAGGCCGCACCGCCACCACCGTCGTCGCACAACAACTCTCTCAAACCAAAGGAAGAGCCCAAACCTTTGGTACAAGCCAAGGTGAGGAACGAAATGTTACGCCGATTTCCCGCGGGACCGCCAGCTCATGAGGCATCCCATTGAACAGGTCGAATGCAAGTACTGTGACGAGGAGTACACAGCCGATGGAATCGACGCCCACGAGCAAAGGCATGCACCTGGCCAACGCGATGAAGACTGACATGTTATCGTAGCTGCGATTGGAAGCCGAAGCGATGCCAATTTTGCAACATGGTCATCATTTCGAGGGACCTGGCTCGACACGAAAGCAATTGCAAACAGAGCAACCGGCAGTGCGCGCATTGCCACCAATCGGTACGTGTCCCGATGAGCATCCACGTGGACCGTCCATTTCTCATCTGTGTATTTCCCGGCAGTTTACAAGTCCTGCGTATGCGTCCCACGTCCCCAAGTGCTTGAAGCGCCCGATCAAGTGTATTCGATGCGGCGATCTTTTTGCAGCTGACATCATTGTGGCTCACTCGACGTCGTGCAAGCCGGGCGAGGCCAAGAGCACCATCCCACCTCCCCCATCGACGCCGCCTCCCATTCAAATCCCCCAGCAAGTTCGTCCATCTTGAGCTACTTCGTGGTGTTCAGGTCATGAGGGGTGATACCACAGGGTTCCCCGTCGAAGCGACGATCCGAAAGTGATTTGCGGAAACTCGTGACGAAGCCCGACCATGAAGGGGGCCCCAGCGACCGATCGTCTCGACGAAACTTCGCCCTTTCACAGCTCACTGCCCCACACGAACAGAGCGTCACTGGTCGCGCCACCATCGGCCGCAATGGCCACCGCGACGTGGACGCAGAAGAAGAAGAGGAAGACGGCGAACACGACTTGGATGATGTGACGCTGGCCCAAGGTATAGATCGATCGCCCTGTGGATGACTACGTTCTAACGCCCAAGGGTGTAGTCGTGGCCGAATGGAATGTGGAGCACGTGTGTTTATGGCTGCGAGAGGACGTTGTCGTCCCTGACGTCGTGGTATGTGATTGCTTTTCCTGCAGTGGCGACACTGCGTTGCATGCGGCATTGGCACGTAGGATCGATTCGAAGCTCTCCAAATCGATGGACAAATGTTGCTGGAGCTCGACGAACAAGCCCTCGTGAATGATCTTGGAATCAAAGCGAAAGCGAGTCGGGATCGAATCCTAGCGGTTCGAATGTCCCATCTGTCGAGTGGTGCCCCACCGAGCCATGTTCTAGGCGATTGATGCCATCAAAACAAGCGAAGACGATGAAGACGAAGAGGACGAAAGCGACGAAGTAGTTGCTCCTCCATCCAGTACCACCCGCCGTACGTGGAATCAAAAAACCTAGTCCGTTTCGATGGACGGTGACGACGACGTAGATGGAAGCGCTCTGGCCCGACGACTGTCCACGGGATCGAGCCCCCAAACACAGGCAAACTTGGTACGGCACATGCTGCCATTCAAAGGACAAAGCCCTAACTGGTTTCATTCTCGATCCAGTTGAGTCGAATCAACTCGGCATTGTATCCCGCCCCCACATGTCGGAAATAGCATTCGCTGGTGATAAGTTTTGAATGGCATGTGGATGTTTTTCTTGCCAAACTTGGACCTCTTGCCGGGTGCAAGACACGTGGAAAGAACCCGGAAAACGAACCAAGCCATGGTCTCGACCTTCGCTGGAGCGTGTTGCGATTTTGACCACACAATTGAAGCCACTACTGCAAAGTTGTCACATGGCATCGAGCTCGAACCGCGAACCGACGACGTGCAACCTCCATGAAACTCGGCGCAAGCGCTGACTCGATGGAGTGTCGAGGAAAGAAGTGCATTCGTTGAAAGCAGCTTAACGTCGAGTTACATGCAGTTCAACAACAACTCGACCTTGTCACAACGAAAGCCCGCACCGACCATTCGTTACGCATCCACGTCCTTGAGCTCGACATAATCGCCTGCCCCAATGAACCCGACTTTGGACTCATCGATGTCGGGCTCCAACGGATCCGACTCGAGCAGGGCTGGCTGGAGGTACGCAATGTCGTCACTGAACAAGGTGCGACGACCATGTTTGGCCTCGGTGGACGTCGTGAGGACACTTTCTTGGCTTCGTCGTGGGTGGGTTGGCGCCACGTCAGCATCTAGGCGCACACAGTCGACGAGCGGCAAAAACATGGCGCCACGAGGGTACAGCGCTTGGATGTGCACGTCCATGATCCATGTAATGACGGGCAGTGCAGTGGCCACGAGCGTCGGCATCATCGCGTACCAGTACGTGTTTTGAACAGCGGCCGGGACGACAATGTTTTCGGGGTTCAGCGGTACGTTGGCATCGTTGGCGACCTTGACGCGTAGCCACAACATCCCAATCAGCACGATCTGGGCCACGTACATGGCACGCACGATAAACATGTACATTTTCGGCCAGTACACACCGGTCGTGAACGGCGCGGGCGAAAAGACGAACAGGAACAGGCGGCGGTAAACAATGTCGGCCGCAACAAAGAAGACGCCACCAAACCAACTCAGGAGCGGCGTGATGGGACAGAAGACCAAAACAAGCAAGATCCCGAGAAAAAAGTTGGGTAACTGGTAGCTTTGATCGCACACTTCGGCCACGTACGACGGCGTGAGGCCCAGCCAGGGCGATCGGCGCTCGCGTGGCGTCAGCTTGGGCGCGCACAGTTTGTAAACCCAGCCGCACGTGATCGCGACCATCCGATACAGCTTGACGATAAGGGATAGACCCGTCTGGATAATGAGGTAGCTCATGTACAAACTCGCTTGCTTCGGCACGGCCTGGGACAAAATGTACACGACAAGGACAGGCTTCTCGACCATCTCCGGCAAAGAGTCCGCCAGGGACGCCCCAAACAACGTCACCACAAACGTTTGGTAGAACTGAAACACGAGAAGCTTGGTGAACACGGCCGACTCGGTTTCAGACCGCGACGCATGGCCTTCGAAGTAACTTATGAACGAAAACACATACGGCGCCACGATGCTGAGCAAGACCAACCCGAGCGGCGATAATTGCTTGAAGATCGGGACGAGGCTCGGGTAGTCTGTCAGCAACTCATTGATCCAATCCCAGTCTTTCCGCCAATTCTCGACGTTGGCCAGCGACGTCATCGTCAGCGTCAGCGTCGACCACATCACGATCACGACGACCGTGACTAAAGTACACACGAGCTGCTTCGAGTTGCGCACGTGCAGGTTCTGGCCGAGGTTTGCCCAAATCATGTCGGACGGATGAGGCGCCGGAATGATGCTAAACTCTGCGGGGTTGCTAGTTTGGAGCATTTGCAGTGCACATTGGGTCGCTTGATGCGATCGAAATGTCACAAGGGCGGTGGGACGAAAGACTTTGGCGTGTTTGATGTCATCGGGAGCGGTCACGTCGACGTCGCTGTCGCGTGGCGCGTCTTCTTTGGCATGCAGCGCGTCAATGTCGCGGCGAATCTCGTAATTGAGTCGCGCCAAGTCGGCTGTGAAATGCGGAATCGCGTCCACGACGTTGCCCGTCGCGGTTTTCACCTTATTACGCCGGTGGTACGGGTTTTCGCGGCATTTTAAGTCGACAACGAGCGCCCGTTCCAGAAGGTTCAGTGTGTCCAGGCGCTTGGCAATCTTGGCTTCAAGGTCTTTGCATTCCAGTGCGACGTGAACAGATTGGACTTGACCCGGGAATAGCGCCTCGAGATACGTCTCGAGCGAGTCGCGAGTGCAGAGATGCAATGGTAAATCGTTCATGACAACCGTGTGCTGTTGCAACGTGTTTTGGCTCAAGAACGCATGCCGTCGGACAACGTACACCTTCCATTCGCGCACCAAGAGAAACATGGTCCAAAACGTGATCACAACACCGGCGACGGCGGATGCCCACAGGCGGTGCGGATCCATCGCGACATTCATGTTGGCCATGGCCATGCGCGTGATCCAGTCGTGTGCGGTGTCGCCGGTCGGAGGTTTCAATGCCGTGGCATACACTGGGATGAGGATGCACGAAATGGCCATGGATGCCGCCGCGATGTTGCGGCCGAGCCGCAGGAGCCGCAAGAAACAGAGGGCGTCCAGTCCGCAGTGCTGGATGATCTCGTCGTCGGACACTTGCCACACGGCCGGGATCCATCCAAAGACGCCGTACGACTGGGCCGCCGTCGGACACGACGTGTCGGCATGGACAGCGCGGCATGCAAAATGCGATGGAAACCGGCGCTGGACCACTTCAAACAGGACAAATGCAAAGGCAAAGAACGTGTAGTAAATCATGATCGAGTCCATCACGGCCTGGTCGGGATTTGAATCCACGACAAACTTGACCGTGACATTGCCTGCTTGGATCGTTTCCACGGTCGTTCCATTCGCCGTGCCATTCAAGGTCGTCATGATCGTCGACTGCCGCGCCGCAAGAGGAGGCTGGCCACGTGCAGACCTTGACTCAAAAACTATATACAGGCCACCACCATTTGTTGCACGCGCGACAGACACCACGGGCAAGTTAGATGCCATCCTTCTGATCGGCTGCACCGGTCAAGACGTACCTAAACAATTGTTACCGTTTGGGGAAAGCTCTGCCCAAGACAGGACACAGCGACGACACCCTTTCAGTGCGAACATGTTGGCAGGTTGTACGAGGAAGTCGCAAGAAGCGCAAAACGAGTCCACTCCAAGTGCAGCCCAGCTGAACCGTTAGTTTGGTGCCAACCAGTATGTCAAGAACAAAGGACATGGACGGGGAGGGGGGTCTTCGTGGTACTCGAAGGGGCGCAAAACTCGACAATCGCAAAAGTGTGGTCATGCCGGTGCAACCCACAGGCATGGAGACGTTTGCGCAGGAGACAAAGGTGGCGGGAGATAGCACCCAAGTGAGGCGGGGTGGAGCCAGTTGTTGGCTCCTTTCTGCGCCGTGTACCGACATCTGGTCATCGTTGCATCCGACCGTCACCGAGCATCTCTACACGACTGGCATGTCCTCGTACGAGTGTGTCGTGGTTGGCATAGCGTTCCCATGCATGCACCTATTCTAACGTGAAACAGACGTACAAACGCAACGCACTGTGGTTGGCGACCAAGAGGCGTCCGTTTGCATGTCAAGGTGGTGGCGTCGAGAGACAAACTCGATGCCTCCACTACACACCCTCAACCTGGCCGCTACAGGGCGTTTTGTGCCCACATGAAAGTTGAGAAGCACTTGGTTTGGTGTCGACTCCCTCATGTGCACAAGATCATGATGGATGATGGGACATATATGGGCACCCACGATTCTTGCGGTGATGTCCCATGGCACTCCGAAGTGTCCGCTCTCAGCAGCTTACCTCGCCTCGTGACACTTTCATGACCGGTTCGTTGGCGGCAGGAGGAGCATTCAACGGTAGTGGAAAACACCTTCCCTCGTCCAGGAGGTACAACTCACACGGACATTCAAAACCGCGCTGCCGAAACACGTCGAGTGTACGGTTGGGTGAATTTGTATTCTTCAGTGTGGGATGGAGGCTGGCTGCAGGACATCAAGTCACCACGCCGTATCACACTTCTTGCACAACCAGACTGGGACCTTCGCCTTGCAACGGCCGAATAGATGTCGCGCGAAGGACGGTCACGCCTCGCTCAACATGGACGACTGTCGACAGGTGCTGGAAATCTCCGCTTCGCGTCGACGCCACTCGTTTGTCGTTCTCAAACAGCGCGAGTCCAGGACCACAAGGCCCGCTCCATTGGACGACAAACCGCCCAGTCTTCAAAATCACTAACGCCGTTCCATCATCCGACAGCACCACGTGGGGCATGTCTTGAGGGGCGGCCTGTGCTGTCCATCGGATGTCCTGGGTCGTGCTGACTCTCGCGGGAACAAATGTGGCTGATGTTGACGAGGCGGGTCGCGGGTTCCTCGGCGAAAGGGGACGCGCGAACGGACACGAGCTTCGTAAGGACGTCAGCATGTCCTGCAATTGACCATTCGCTTCATCTTGCGCAAACGGCATCATGTCAAACACGTAGCCGTCGACACGAACAGGAGTTTTCAGTGCCAATAGCACGATCAACTGACTTCCGTCGTCACTCATGACCGCCTCCACTCGCGCCACGTCGTGGCTCGACGCTTCGACGTGGGACGTGAGCGAGGCACACGTCAGTGCATGCTAGTCATGGCATGACAAGGTCCGTTAGTTGGCATCGGCCTCGTTACCTTCATCGCTGCGATGACCTCTTGTGGGGCGCAGGTGCTGCTGGCCTTGGCATGGTTGCAAACGCTTGAAACTTGGCATTCCCTACATGCAGCAAGGCCATTTGTATGGTGCGCAGGCGGAAGCGCTAGCATGTACCACGTCCTGCCGTCACGCTTCGAGTGAAGCCAGAGCACCATCTTTCCGGACGACGCGTCCGACCTACTGCTCGTCAGGCGAACATGAAAGATCTCGCTCGAGGCACAGCGTGTAGCCAAGAGCACGTCGTGGAGCTCCAACACGTCAGCGAAACTTCCACCGGGAGGCAGCTTCATCATCATGCTCGTTGATCGAATGTGTTCCGAAACCAATTGCAAAGTGCTCCGATTCATACGCGATTTTATGCCCCATCGAACAACGCAACTTTGATGTGCATCATGACAATCCGTCGGCATCATAAGTTAGCAAAGTTAACGGCGCGGGTTAACGGAGCACGAACAGCCTGTCCTGGATTTGCACACGAACGTCTTCGCTCGGGTTTACAAACACGTAGCTGTGTCGATCTTGTCTGGCGCGAAAGAGCCCAAGGCACAAAATGTCCTACGCCGTCCACCACAAGTTGGGATGCCTGCAATCTATCATGAATGTCGTCGTATATGACTGAGTACCTGCGTCACAAGCATCTGGACAAAGCATTCCAGGTACGACTTGTCTTGGTACGCGAGGGGGACTGCGATTTGATCGAGCATGCGACCGCTCTCGTTGCTGGCGCCTTCGCCAAACGTAAGGAGATGGAGCAGGTCGATGATGCAGCCGTATTTGTTGCAGCTGCCCAAGACAGCATCCAACGAGTTGGAAATGAACACCTTGCCTGGACACGAACTGTCAAAACGATGGACGAAGCTTGGTCAACCTGCAGCGTAGATGGGATGGCAGATGTTGTCGAGGGGGTCATCCGCGCGGGATAGCACGCGCTTCGTCAGGGCTTTGACGGCTTGCAGTGTTGCTGGACTCTCTGCCCGAACGAGCTCGTCTTTGAGAAATCGCAAACTGCTCGGCCGGCTCTACAACACAGTTCATACGACTGGGCTAGCTCATGTACGCATGAATGTACCAGCTCGACGATCACTGTCGTCATGGGCGAGCCCACGGGGCAATTGCACTCGCAGAACTCGACAATATATCGATGAAGCGTGATGGCGTCCGTGTCGAGCATGTTTTGGTCTTTCGTGTCGGCAGCCATGGCTTCAGCTTCGCCTTCGTCGTCGTCGATGCGCTGCTTGGACTGCAGGCACGTCCCGAGAATGACAATGCTCTTGGCCGTGTACGCCGACGCGTGGCGGAGCACGCCTTCGTGCAGGGGCGACCCACAAATAAAGTACACTTGGTGAAAGTGGGCGATGCTCGCGTGCTGTTTTTCCGTGAGGAGAATCTGCGAGATCACGATGATCGGCGCGGCTGTCATAGCGTGCTGCGAGCTGCCGAGAAATTGCGTCGAGTTGGCGTGAAAGTCGAGCTGGTGTCGCAGCGGCGCGATAAAGTCGTGCAGCGCATTCGGCATGCCGCATAGAATGATGTGGCCGGACAGCGAACATGGCAGCGCTTGATCGAGAAACGAAGTAAAGCAATCAGCATGGTTGGCGGCCGTGGCGGGCGACAGTACATTGCCGCTGGTTGATACCCCAGCGTCACCATCCACGTGCAGCAAGTGGGATGAAAATTTCTGCAGCAGCTGCTTCGTGTGCGGCTCGACAGTTTGGACAGATTCCAGCAGTGGTGGTGCGCCACCCGAAGGCTCGACAGGGTGACACTCGCCCGGACTGTCATCGGCATCGTTTTTGTCGACCATTGAGTCGTCCGGGTCGATCATGTAGTCAGAGTCGATTTCGTTGTACGGAATCACTCGTGTGACGCAGCTTCGATCCTGGCGGGTCGATGGACTATGGTCAGCTGACTTGGCCAACAGTTCAAACGACGACCGATACGAATTTAGCAGTTGCGACCGCCGCCTGGGCAATTCATCCTGCACGGATTCCGTTGCCGATTCACGCAACGATTCGACGGACCGTATTGACATCGACGGATGAGCCACGCTTGCCACAGACCCCCGCATGGTCGTGCGCAGTTTGCCCGCCATAGAGTTGGCATGCCATCGTTCAGCCACCCTCAGGAAATTCGCAATGCGCCCTTCGTACCTTGACCATCGTCGTCATACCAAAGATCGTTCACAGTCCCAACCACGTACTTTTGCAGTGTCGGTAACGCGAGCGACTCGACCTGGTTAACTGCGTCCGGGTTGGTTGCAAGCAAGAAAATGTGGTGGGTTCTTTTCAATATCGTCTTGGATGGAAAGAGGCGCATGTCGAGGTGATTCCGACCGGTGATGGCCAACGCCAAGATCCCGTACTCTTGGTACAAGATCAGCGCCAAGGTCGCAAAGCTCAACAGGCCGTCGAGGTAGTCCGGCAGCTTGGCTTCGTAGACGTCGTGCGCGCAGCCCATGAGGAACTCGGACGCCCATAGCGTGCTACACAGTGCATTCAGCGCGATTCGAGTTGCCTTGAGGGTGCAGCAGCACCTGCGAACATAGTACGGACGGAACGTGAACAGCATGTTGCAGAGGAAGGCACAGAGTCCTGGAATCACGCATGCCTTTGCGAGAATCCCGAGCTTGAGCTCGTCGATGCAGATGATGTTGCTCGCGCCAGACATGTGGATGTGTCGGATGTTGTCAGTCTTGAGCACTTGCACAAACAGCGGCACTGCATCAACGAGATAAGTCCCGCGCGGGGATTATTCCTGTTCAATCGGACATCCGCACCGTCGTTCGTGTGATGCCGAAGAGAAATCGTGAGCAAGTTGGACGCCGTGTCGTTCCGGTCACCGTCTTGAGACAGTTTGTTGAGCATGACAAAACAGAGACGGGCGTTGGCCGCGCCAGCTCGCTTCAGGTCCGAGTCGAGCATGGCACTTCCCTGGAGATACACAACGCGCTGCTCGTACGCGCTGTTGAGCAAGATACGCCGCAGGTTGTGCGACGGCAGGCCCGGACACAGGATCACGACTTTGTCCTTCCAGTTGAAGTTGTTGGGGTGGAGGAACTGGCGCAGGAAAAAGTCGAGCGCGCCCGAGTTGACTTCGCCGCAGATGAGGATGTGTGGGTTCTTCTCCTTGCGCGCCGTGAACGACTTGTCGAACTCGGTCTGCGAGAGGCGTCGATGATGTGAGGCTGGTTTGAAGGATGCGCGCGCGTGTGTGGCGAGGTTGTCGTACCTCTCGGCTCAGGATGTCGCTGTATCGACTAATCTGGAGCGGCAAGAGGATGCCCGTGGAAAAGATCAAAGCGATCACGGCCACTTTGCCATTCGACGTCTTCGGCGCGAGGTCGCCGAATCTACCACCGCACGTCAAGTCTGTGCGGCACAGACCAGGGTGTGGGTTGGTGCTTACCCGAGGGTGGCGATTGTGATGACGACGAAATACGCGGCGTTGTAGATTTCCATGTCTTGGCACTTGGTGTCGCCGACTTTGGCGCATGCTTCGATCGCCTGGTTGAAGCGTGAGGCCGAACCTGTTCCAGGTGGACGGCTGTCCGTACCTGGATGATACCGGCAGAGCAAAAGATGATCGACATGACGGTGAGGAAGAGGATGCCGGCCTGTCGTCCTTTGGCGGTCTTGGCAAACACGAGCAAGCGAAAGGCCCGAAGGAAGCGGAGGCCGCGCAGGGTCTTGAGGGCGTTCGCTTGGGCCTTGAAGTCCGAGTCCTCGGAGATGACCATCTCGAGCCACTGGGGCAAGATCGTGGCGAGGTCGACCAGGGACATGGTGTTGAAGAAGAACGTTTCTCGGCTCTCAGCTGCGGCAAAACGAATGATATAGTCCAACGTGAAGAGCACGCCAATGGTCATTTGGGCATTGCGCAGCGCAGGGGTTTCGACCACGTCCTGGAACTTTGTCCAGTTTTGATTAAAGTAGATGATCGTGACACCAATGCTACGAAGCGCCGCTGTTACCTGCGCGGGAGCAATGTCGTCGAGACACGTACCCAAGGACAACTTGAAACACGTCAACGAACGTGGCCAGCCTCGAGTTGTCCATGTTTCGGCTCGCCCACTTTCGGAATGTCTCGCCGCGCATGCGAGGCCGGATCAAGTGGCTCATGGCCGTGTGGAACCACACCACTACCACGTGCTTTCTCGACATGATATCGTGGGTGCCACCGCCGCTCGTGTGAGCAATGCGCACTAGCAGTTACGGTGACTTTTTAGCGGTTACCATTGTCACCAGTCACCAGTAACTGTTTTCACAGCCCCTCTGATGAATCCCATCCAGGGCGTCTTGAATCCTCCTCCATGCTGCCTTGCAAAGCCAACGGCAATAGCCAATGCGTAAACATGTTGGCAATTATTCGTCGACTCCACCACGATCGATCGCTACCCAGTGGGCGTTCGAACTTTTCTTTGCGATGCCCTTAGGAAATCCAGACCCTGCAGCAACGTGTACACGTTGGAGATGTTTTGTACAAGGAAAGGTAGGTTACTGGTGCCTTCGCCCCCAAGACTGAATCCGCCGTCAAGCCAACTCCAACATACATGGGGCTCCCGATTCGAATTGTACACATGCGCCACAAACAACAGAGGCAACGGCGCGTGTACACGGCCCAGGATCGCACACAATGTATCGATAGCTATCGCACGATGAGGCATGCACTGTCATTTGCAGCGCTTTGCGCTTTCACCGCAACAGAATCGAGAAACAGTTTAGTAACGTTCGGTTTCATCTTGAATTACAAGTCACCGCCAAAAACCCCGCTGAAAGCATGGAGCAACCCAAGAAAGGGGTGGCCATGGTGTGGGTGAATGCGATCCTGCGACGCCTTGTCAAGCCTCGCATGCGCGGCGAGACATTTCGCAAATGGGCGAGCCGGAACATGGACAGCTCGACGCTGGCGACAATTCTAGACGTGTTCCAGGTCACCCTTGGGTACGCCACACACAACCCATTGTCGAGCGTCACCCTCGTTTGTGTCGGCGTGTAGAATTGGCGTCACGATGGTGTACTTTTACCAGAACTGGACGAAGTTCCAAGTTGCCATCGAGTCACCGAGCGTGAAACACGCGCAACTGGTGATTGGCGTGCTCTTCACGTTGGACTATATCATTCGTTTTGCCGCGGCCGAGAGCCGAGAAACGTTCTTCTTCAACACCATGTCCCTGGTCGACCTCGCCACGATCTTGCCCCAGTGGCTCGAGATGGTCATCTCCGAGGACTCGGACTTCAAGGCCCAAGCGAACGCCCTCAAGACCCTGCGCGGCCTCCGCTTCCTTCGGGCCTTTCGCTTGCTCGTGTTTGCCAAGACCGCCAAAGGACGACAGGCCGGCATCCTCTTCCTCACCGTCATGTCGATCATCTTTTGCTCTGCCGGTATCATCCAGGTACGGACAGCCGTCCACCTGGAACAGGTTCGGCCTCACGCTTCAACCAGGCGATCGAAGCATGCGCCAAAGTCGGCGACACCAAGTGCCAAGACATGGAAATCTACAACGCCGCGTATTTCGTCGTCATCACAATCGCCACCCTCGGGTAAGCACCAACCCACACCCTGGTCTGTGCCGCACAGACTTGACGTGCGGTGGTAGATTCGGCGACCTCGCGCCGAAGACGTCGAATGGCAAAGTGGCCGTGATCGCTTTGATCTTTTCCACGGGCATCCTCTTGCCGCTCCAGATTAGTCGATACAGCGACATCCTGAGCCGAGAGGTACGACAACCTCGCCACACACGCGCGCGCATCCTTCAAACCAGCCTCACATCATCGACGCCTCTCGCAGACCGAGTTCGACAAGTCGTTCACGGCGCGCAAGGAGAAGAACCCACACATCCTCATCTGCGGCGAAGTCAACTCGGGCGCGCTCGACTTTTTCCTGCGCCAGTTCCTCCACCCCAACAACTTCAACTGGAAGGACAAAGTCGTGATCCTGTGTCCGGGCCTGCCGTCGCACAACCTGCGGCGTATCTTGCTCAACAGCGCGTACGAGCAGCGCGTTGTGTATCTCCAGGGAAGTGCCATGCTCGACTCGGACCTGAAGCGAGCTGGCGCGGCCAACGCCCGTCTCTGTTTTGTCATGCTCAACAAACTGTCTCAAGACGGCGACCGGAACGACACGGCGTCCAACTTGCTCACGATTTCTCTTCGGCATCACACGAACGACGGTGCGGATGTCCGATTGAACAGGAATACTCCCCGCGCGGGACTTATCTCGTTGATGTAGTGCCGCTGTTTGTGCAAGTGCTCAAGACCGACAACATCCGACACATCCACATGTCTGGCGCGAGCAACATCATCTGCATCGACGAGCTCAAGCTCGGGATTCTCGCAAAGGCATGCGTGATTCCAGGACTCTGTGCCTTCCTCTGCAACATGCTGTTCACGTTCCGTCCGTACTATGTTCGCAGGTGCTGCTGCACCCTCAAGGCAACTCGAATCGCGCTGAATGCACTGTGTAGCACGCTATGGGCGTCCGAGTTCCTCATGGGCTGCGCGCACGACGTCTACGAAGCCAAGCTGCCGGACTACCTCGACGGCCTGTTGAGCTTTGCGACCTTGGCGCTGATCTTGTACCAAGAGTGCGGGATCTTGGCGTTGGCCATCACTAGTCGGAATCACCTAAACATGCGCCTCTTTCCATCCAAGACGATATTGAAAAGAACCCACCACATTTTCTTGCTTGCAACCAACCCGGACGCAGTTAACCAGGTCGAGTCGCTCGCGTTACCGACACTGCAAAAGTACGTGGTTGGGACTGTGAACGATCTTTGGTATGACGACGATGGTCAAGGTACGAAGGGCGCATTGCGAATTTCCTGAGGGTGGCTGAACGATGGCATGCCAACTCGATGGCGGGCAAACTGCGCACGACCATGCGGGGGTCTGTGGCAAGCGTGGCTCATCCGTCGATGTCAATACGGTCCGTCGAATCGTTGCGTGAATCGGCAACGGAATCCGTGCAGGATGAATTGCCCAGGCGGCGGTCGCAACTGCTAAATTCGTATCGGTCGTCGTTTGAACTGTTGGCCAAGTCAGCTGACCATAGTCCATCGACCCGCCAGGATCGAAGCTGCGTCACACGAGTGATTCCGTACAACGAAATCGACTCTGACTACATGATCGACCCGGACGACTCAATGGTCGACAAAAACGATGCCGATGACAGTCCGGGCGAGTGTCACCCTGTCGAGCCTTCGGGTGGCGCACCACCACTGCTGGAATCTGTCCAAACTGTCGAGCCGCACACGAAGCAGCTGCTGCAGAAATTTTCATCCCACTTGCTGCACGTGGATGGTGACGCTGGGGTATCAACCAGCGGCAATGTACTGTCGCCCGCCACGGCCGCCAACCATGCTGATTGCTTTACTTCGTTTCTCGATCAAGCGCTGCCATGTTCGCTGTCCGGCCACATCATTCTATGCGGCATGCCGAATGCACTGCATGACTTTATCGCGCCGCTGCGACACCAGCTCGACTTTCACGCCAACTCGACGCAATTTCTCGGCAGCACGCAGACCGGGATGACAGACACACCGATCGTCGTGATCTCGCAGATTCTCCTCACGGAAAAACAGCACGCGAGCATCGCCCACTTTCACCAAGTGTACTTTATTTGTGGGTCTCCCCTGCAAGAATCGGTGCTCCGCCAAGCGTCGGCGTACACGGCCAAGAGCATTGTCATTCTCGGGACGTGCCTGCAGTCCAAGCAGCGCATCGACGACGACCTAGGCGACGACGACGACATGGCCGCCGACACGAAAGACCAAAACATGCTCGACACGGACGCCATAACGCTCCATCGATACGTTGTCGAGTTTTGCGAGTGCAATTGTCCGAAAGGGACGCCTATGACAACCGTGATCGTCGAGTTGGTGAGTGTCTACCATCATGCTGTGCAAACCCTGCCTTGACAACATCGACCATGACCGTAGAGTCGACCGAGCAGTTTGCGTTTTCTCAAGGATGATCTCGTTCGGGCAGAGAGTCCAGCAACACTGCAAGCCGTCAAAGCCCTGACGAAGCGCGTGCTGTCCCGCGCGGATGACCCCCTCGACAACATCTGCCATCCCATCTACGCTGCAGGTTGACCAAGCTTCGTCCATCGTTTTGACAGTTCGTGTCCAGGCAAGGTGTTCATTTCCAACTCGTTGGATGCTGTCTTGGGCAGCTGCAACAAATACGGCTGCATCATCGACCTGCTCCATCTCCTTACGTTTGGCGAAGGCGCCAGCAACGAGAGCGGTCGAGTGCTCGACCAAATCGCAGTCCCCCTCGCGTACCAAGACAAGTCGTACCTGGAATGCTTTGTCCAGATGCTTGTGACGCAGGTGAGTGCTCTGTTGAGGTGTCGACGTCGCTGGGAATTGACGCGTGTGTGTTTTGTGTCCAGGATATTTTGTGTCTCGGGCTCTACCGAGCGCGATCCAAGCGGCACAGCTACGTTTACGTGAACCCGAACGAAGACGTTCGCGTGCAATACAACGACAGGTTGTTTGTGCTGCGATGACAGATTGACGTCGACTCCAGAGGCGGATGAAGACGTGTCGGAACGATCGATCCAACTCGACAACGGATCAAAGGGGCCACCGTCTCGACCCACGCTGCCACAGTGGACATCGCGCCAGTTTTGAAAAATGGTGTTTCATTCATGCCATGTACCGCAGCCCGTTGTCGCTTGTCTCGTCGAGCAGGGACACCGCTTCCTTTTCGGCCGCGCTTCGGGTCGTGGCTTCCGTACTTGGCTCCTGCCACACACACACACAGATGGAGTCGCACGACCGACGTGCGCACACTGTACCGGCGTCATTCGAAACACCACAAGCCCGAGAAAAACCACCATGAACGACAAATAGTCCATCCACCTTGCCGTCGTCACGTCCTAGAAACATCTCAACGCGTTGCCATGCCATTTGAGTAGCACGCGTACACTGTCGTCGGCTTGTCCAGACGACTGGTACGTGTCGAGGACAAAAAAGCCCAGCGGAAACGCAAGGGTGAATGCAGTGTACAGCACGCCCGGGCTCGTGTGGTTCATGACGTACCCCACGCCGTAAAACAAGCCCACTTTGCACGCCAGGAAGGCGGCGAGAAGGGCGAGCCCCATCTACGTTATATTTTTCCCGTCGGTATGCGGCAAAACAGGCGCAGCACCAGCCGCGGACATACGTACGTGGCATTTGTCCGTGCGCACTTCCGATGAGCCATTCACAAGACACTCGAGTCCTGAGATGCGCTGGTCCAAGTGCAGTGTCTAGACAGCATCCCACGTCAGCCCGAGACGGTTGCGATTTGGTAAGATTGCCGGAATGTCGAAAATGAGTGGAGCCAGCAGAAAGCCTCCGATGAACTGGTAGACGGCAACCCATGCGTTGAGGTAGTACACGTCCATGGGTTGCGGCGCTAGTGCCTGCTCCTTGTACAGCATCGAGAGGGCACCTGGAATGGCCGCGAGGAGGTAGCACAGTGAATGCCACCCCATCTCGGCTTCTTCAAAGACGTCGCTGGCCAGGCTACGACACGGATGAGGGTTCTATCGCATTCAATCTCGCGTACAGGAGAAGAAGCGGGAGGATCCCGAGCATGAGCCCACTCGTCATGAGAATGCCGCCCACGATCTGCATGCGCGAGTACTGGTAGCTGTGAAAGAGGTAACCAAACAGCATGGAGAACGGAACGGTCGCTTGAACAAATATCACGGTGAGTGCAGGCGGCGTGTTGCCCGCGGGGATGAACAGGAGCATGGCCTAGACATCAAACCGGGACTGAGACCACAGGACGAACGAAAGGATCGACTCACGTGCAACAGGTCGAGCACGGCCATTATGAAGAACTTGTACTTGGGGAACTCGTTCACTTCTTCGTCAATAAAGTCCTAGGGCCATGATTGAAGCATCAGTGTCGACGCTCAGTACGGCAGCCATCGCGTACAGTTTGCGTCGCTTTGTACCCGACGATGCAAAACATAGGTGGAATGTACAAGAATGTCGTGATCTGCGCCAGAAAGTATCGATACGATTCCATGCGGTCAACCATGAGCTTGAACGTGAACCGCTCGCCAACGTCTGCCAGCATCAGTGCCGCCACGGCCCCGACGACGACGAGAGTCTACCCAACCATGAGATGACATCACTCGTTCAACAGCCACGCGACGAACATGTACAGAGAAGAACGCATGCGGCTTGCCCGTCCATTCATCAAAGCCAAGAATCGACTTCAGCAGGTCCATGATGGCTCGTCCGATACCGACGCCGCCGCTGATGGTTGTCGATGAGGGTTCCGACACGTCTGACGTGCGAGGATCAAGCTCTATGTGCGTCAATTCCACCAATGAAATTGCAGAATCTGTATAAAGACCAATCATCACTCGTTATTCCAATCAAAATTCATTTTATCCAATCCACTTCCATATCCGCATTGTCATTTAGGCCAATCACGTGTCTAACTGTGAAGTGGCACAATACTTCAACAGATCACAATCGGAAAGTCGACCGCGGCGATGCACGACGGCCCCGCATGGACGAGTGAGTTGTCAGGAACTACAGCTCGATGGGAAGCGCCGCGCGTTGATCTCCTGCGCGGAGACGACTCACACGCGTAGGATCCGGTACAAGTGACGACGGCGATGCGTGACATTAAGCGGATTGAAGCATCACCAACACGACGCTAACGTTGTCCTGGGATCCGTTTTCAATCGCGGTACGCACGAGCAAGTCGCAGATTGCTTGGGGGGCCATTTGGTTGACGGTCTTGTGGTGTGTGACAAAGTCCACTGCTTCCTGTGGGGTGAACACTTCAAAGAGGCCATCGCACGCCAGCAGCAAAAACTCGTCCCCTGGGTGGTTGTGGCGGTGTCCTCCACTCACGACGTCGGGTGTAGTGATCACGACGGGCCGCTCGACTTTGACAAACCGATCGCCAAACGATCGCGACACGCCAAGGTATCCAAAGATATATCTGTCCTGGACAATCTGGCCGTTTGCCGCCAAGATCCGAGCGCGTTCGTCGGGATGTTGAGGGGTGTGCGCCACGCACAAGTCGATGGCGCGGCCGTAACGACTCAGAATGGCTTGGGAGTCCCCGACGTTACCCTACGATGTGGTCAACTTGGACTGTCCAGAACACTCTCGTCGCACCACAACCCACTTGTCTTTGCCAACAAGGGCAAATACTGCGCACGATCCACTGTCGTCTGCTAGATGGGAGCCCAGAAACGCATTGTCGGCGTCTCGGCACGCCAATTGGAATGCAGACTCGAGGGATTCGTGAGGAGCATCATGGAAAGACCGACGATGAGCAGCCAAGTGGTGCTTGACATGTGTATGGAGGCCATGTTGAAGAAAGTTGGCGCAATGCGTGCCGCCATGTCCGTCGAACACCGCCACGAACGCCAACGGCTCGAGCTAAGCATGATGCCAGGCGCCGTTGTTGTGATTCACGACCTGGTCGAATGCGTTCACGTACAGTTGTGGGATGGTCGAACGTAACAGCTGCGACGCGATCTTCCATGTACGATCGCTTTCCCACGTTTGTCGCGCTGGCCACGGAAATGAAAAGTCTATAGAAGCAGGTTAGGTTCGGACGTCATGGCAAGATTCGACTTGTCGAGGGTGACAGAATCAAGGACATCGCTGGTAGCGGCGGGACTGCGGTTCCACTTGGAGATGGAATGCGACGGTGCCAATGGTTGTGTGGATGACGCTGGTGTGGTGGTCGGGGGAGTTGAAGTATACAACCGTGCTTGAGACGCGCGCTTTCGGCTGGCATTGTTCCGAGCCTCGATGCGATCTCGCATGGCTTGAGCTGTATCACCCTAATTCACCCAGCGGTGTTAGACTAGCGACAGTTGTGCAAAGGCCTCACAGAAGCGGGCGGCGGGGACCCTTCCATGGCGGCTGTGTTGGAGGAAGCAGACAGAGCTGCCGCCAGCGCGACTGTGCATAGAGGGAGTGTCGAGAGCGTCTACATAGTCTGTGAGACATCCTTCTACTCGGAGAACTTGGCCGACGGGAACTAACCACCTCCACCGCTTGGACACTTCCCGACGTCCGCCGCCGAACATTGCTCTTAACACAAAAATTTCTGTGCATACAAACTGGCGTTATCCGTATCTCCCACGCCAAATAATTGCTCACTTGTAGTGCACACTACGTCATGACTCCAACCCCCCCCCCCTCCAAAGCACAGGACACTCCCAAAGCTGCCGACCCGACGAGAGATGACTTCTGCGTTGGTGTTGCCGACTTGATCATGGGCTGTGAATCACAACTGATGCCACGGGCGGCAATAGCATATCGTAGCGTCCCCCCCGTCCGGCACTTCCGCCCCAGGACGTAGGCCCAGAGAGTAATGCTGAAGAACTCCCCTTTGCGCCGAAGCATTTTCAGTCGTTGTCCCCAGGCATCTCCTACGGACCGGTTTGTTTGTTCCAGTTCCGTCCACCCCGACGCGGCCCCGCGAATTGTCCGAAAGTTCCGAATGGGAGTGTATGTATTGTGGTGAATGATGGGCAATGCCGCACCAAGCACTTGTGCCACTTGACGATCATGTCGTGGCCGGCGTTTGAACAGGCTGCGGGAAGCGGCAATGCAGCCGCCGCTGCAGAACTTCTCGGCAACATTTACACAGCTGGAGGTCGAAATGCATTCGGCACGTGCAGGCAAGCCCTGCTGAGCTACCTGAAGCAGCAAGAGAATGCCCCGATCGAGCTCATGTGGGCCATGGTGGCCCATGTGTGGAACGACCCAGCGTCACCGACAGCATATCTGCTTCTCATGACGCTCGAAGAAGTCGGCAAAGCCATGTCCGTCGTTCCAGCTTTAACGGTTCGAAGTCGATTTCGAGAGAAAGTTCTTGCCGTGATGGAGCAGGATGTGGGGACGTCAAAGGTCGTGGTGAGGCATCCACCAACACACACCTGTCAGCACATGACCGCTCGTTCACGTATCCTTAGGATGCAAAAGTCGTCGTGAAAACAATCGTCCTTTGCCGGCTCAACGACATTGACCAAACAATGGTGGTGCGCTACGCGAGAGGGCTTGTCCAAGACAAGGACATGCTGGTGGCACTCGTGCAGCTCGTGCATGCCTTTCCAAACAGCGCGTGGCCCGTTGACGAGTACTTGGTTCAAATCACAGCATTCAACAGCTGGCCCATGGCCGAGCGCCTGATTGCGTCACTGTCGACCAACGACCCGAACGTTGTCGTGAGTACGTCGAGGGTCTCGTCCACGCAACTGGGCGTTGGCATTCTCGCCAACTCATGCGAAGACGATAGATGCCCAGCACACGTTGATTACGCTGGCTGTGCAAAAAGGAGACCTCAAACGCGTAAGTATGCCAGCGAGTGGAATGAGCGCTGGACGACTTCTTTAGGCACATAAATGGGTGCACCAATACAGCATGCAAACCGCATTCCCTGAAGTCGGTACGTTCTGCATTCATCGTGGTCTCTTCGCGCTAAAGCCGCCTTGACAGAAAACATCTTGCAGCAAGAAGCGCTGGACAAGTTGTGTGGCCAGCAAAAGTGGTCGATCGCCGTCAAATTTGTCGGGGCCAACACGATATTGCAAGTTCGTTGGAGTGTCTCTTCAGCCACCGAGATGAGAGCGGTGTCTGATTTGTGAAGACGTACCCTGATGAATGAATCACCACGTAGATGCGACTCTTCCATGCGCTCGTTGCCGCGGGTCAAGTCGGCCTTGCCAACCATGTCCACGACAGGTTCGTGCGAAACATGGTTTTGACATCACATGGGGTGGTGCTTCACGCCGACCACAGGTTTTCGTTGACTTCGGTGCCCAAGGCGACAACGATGCCCAGTGCTCGTTCCAGCGACGTAAGCTAGTCCTGCTACACCCACTGCCCCCTCGACTTGCTCACTAGGAAGACACCGAGGGTAGCGCCGGTCAACCTCTGGCGTTGCCACAAGATGTTGCTATTGTACTGTGCGATACAGTGAACGCCATGGAATCATTCGAGCGAGCTGTTCTCGGTTCGTCGTGCCATGTAGATCGAATCCAATGCCGTCCATAACGGCGCAAGTAGAGTGCCTCGCATGCCAAGACAACGAGTGCTGGCTCGGAGTGGACGTTGAGTGGAAACCAGTCTTTTCCAAGACAGACCAGCCACTCGCGAGTGTATTGCAGTTGGCAGTTGGACACCAAGTGTTCATCGTGGACTTGATTGCGTTGGAGGTACTCATGAGTTGTGGCGGAACTCATTTCACCTGGAATGGTAGGAGGCATCGGCGGCGTTTGAAATGCTCGACCGAGTGTTGCAGCACCCCGACGTGATCAAAGTTGGGTTTGGATTTTCCCATGACCTGCAAGGTGACCCACGCCACGTCGTCGTCTCTCTCTGACAGATTCGTCCTGGGTGTAGTATTGCGCCAGACATTTCCAGACAAAGGCAGGTGCTTCCACTACGTGTCGAGCTTCATTGAGGTAGAAGGATGTCGTCGGTCGGACGCGGTGTGATGTACAGGCTCGCACGCGTAGCTGACCCAAATCCTCCACAACTTGTACCCGACGACCCACCTAGGACGAGCGGGACTCAGTAGTGCGACGCAATTTGTTCTTGGGGCCTGTCTGGACAAGGTGCGAGCCGCTGGCGACCATTCGTGGCCAAGCCATGCTCCATCTTATGGCGTAACGACAGGAACAACAGCTCTCGGACTGGACGGCTCGACCGCTTTCAACAGCACAACTGCGGTATGGTGGAATTGTCTCTATTCGGGTCGTTCTTGGGTGCTTGTGTGTGCATGACCGAAGCCCCTGCAGATATGCTGCGACGGATGCATGGTGTCTATTACGCATACTGTCTCAATTGCGCAGCTGCCACCCCGCAATGGACCTCAACAAACAAGACCTGCACCACTGCGAACCGAACGAAGCCAGCCATAACGGCATGTCGGCTCGTGTTGTCGAACGGCGCCACGATCACTTTACCCGCCATGAGGTGTCTACCAAAGTCGTTGCGACCACATTGTCCCATGCGGCACGTAGGCCAAAGAAGACGTCGTCGTGCGATTCATGGCAAGGCAGTGTGCGGACGTCCTAGCTGAGTGTCGATTGCAACCACTCGAGTACCAGGTGCCTCCGAACGCAATAGTGGCCAACACGTTGTGCCTATTCACTAATGGTACACGAAAGCAAGAAAATGGATGTGCTCATGCTTCGCCGACTACCTTTAGACATCGAGCCCCATGTTGTCGTGCTGCCGCAGTCAGAAAAAGTCGACTTGGCGGTGTTTGCCATTGCCAACGGGTGTCCGCGGCGTCGGGTTCGCTTGGCGACAGCACAAGAATGCGTGCAAAGGTTTGGTTTTGTGCCAGGGAGTGTCCCCCCCATCGCGCACGCCGATTCCTCGACAACAATTTGGATGGACCAGTACGTCCAACTCGCTTCTGTGTTCAAAGTGCTTGTAGACTGCTGCTTGTCTTGACGGTAATGTTGTTCTCTGCAGGTCGGTGATGTCGTCGCCGGCGCCGGTGGTGACGGGAGGTGGTTTGCATCACGTGCTCGAGTGTAACAATGGCGCTGGTCTCCATGCGCTATGTGGTGGAGATGCTCGTGTCAAAGTCGAAAAGTTGTGCAAACGCCACCTCGACAACAAGACGCTCCAAACGCCCACTGACACACTTCGCTTCTTGTCCGACGCGCATTTGGGTCGAGTTACCAAGTGGTTGCGCATGCGAGGGGTCGACATTGCGTTGTTCGACGACCAAGGCAGAGACCGCACGAAATTCATAGACCAAGTGCGAACGCTGGCGACGCATACACCCACGACTTAGGACTCGTTTGACGGTCTTCATAGGCTGCAGCGGAGAAGCGCATCATGCTGACAACGGATCGGAAACTCGGCCAACGACGGATTGCCGTTGTGTGTTTTGTCGTCTCGTCCGACGACCCTCGCCAGCAATTTCACGAGGTCCGATGCTTCGACCTCTGTTGTCCCTCCTGACCGTCGTCATGTCTAGGTTCTGACGCACTTTGGCCTGTCCGCGGCAGGAACTGTCGTCCCGCGGTATGATGCGCCACCCATCCGACCGACAACATATAGATACACTTACGAACCGCTCACAGTCGATTTGTCCATCCCAGATGTTCGCGTTGCAACGGCGACGGATTTCGCATGCTCACGAGCGAGGAAGTTCAAGAAGCTGCCATGCGCCAGACCATTGCGCAGGAAACCCTCAACACCGTGTCGGAATTCTGGCAGTGCCTCGCGTGCAAAAAGATCTTCTGGACCGCGTGGAAACGATTCCAAACCATGCGTTTTCAAGATGCCCTCGATTCGACGACAGTCTGCGATCAACCATCCGCTGCAGCGATCGACGAAGCGTAGACAAGGGTCATGGTCTTCCATTAGAATTCCTGTTGTACAACACAAACGTTGTCCGGCACACGTGCTTCGTCCTGAGTGACTCTCGCCTGTCCTGGAAGTACATACGAATCAAAGTGCCCCAAGGGGTTTCAACCTCTTAAGTCATCAAGAGACCGCCAAGTCGCCAACGTGTCGCTTCCAATGTCGAACGTGCATGGCTAAATGAACGGCTAGAATGTCGGCAGCTGCTTTGTGCTCGTGGTTGCTACAAGTCAAGGTCTTCACTTGGTTCTGTAGCTCGGCGCTTGAATCTTTCAGGGATACTGCCAACGCCTGCAGGATAAATATCAACTTTGAACAAACCAACACCCCAATTCTTGAAAGCCTGATCTCTGCTGAAGGCAGTACCGTTTGGTTCGAGAATGCTTCCGTCGTTGCCGCGACGCGATCGGTCCTCTTGGACTCTGTGCTGATGCACTTGGTCTTGCACTCGTCCCGATCGAGTTGCAATCGAATTGCGTCTCTGCACTTGCCACGATGAGAACGGTTCACTTCGCGACAACACCTACCTTTGGGCTTTTACAGTCGTCAATTCATGCATGTGACTTTGCTGCATTGTATCCGCGGCCGCTAGAGCTTTTTGCAGCTCATTCTTGAAATGGATGGTCGTCGTTCGCTCTTGGTCCAACGCATCCTCGAGCCACTCAATTGTGCGGTTCAACTCGATCGTTTCCGCCTGTAGTTGCTCGATGCGCTGGGATTGAGCGTTGTACCGTTCACTCCACTCTGTGTTCAGCAAGTCAAAAGCTTGTCGTTGGTGGTCGAGGTCCGACTGCAGCGACAAAACAACATGGCGCGTGTCACCTGCATTGTCAATGATGCGCCTTCCTTGAGCTTCGAGTTGTGCCTTGAGCTCGTCCCGTTCTACTTCCAGTGCATCGGTTGTAGCTTGGTGTAACATTTCCTCTTGGCGCAACGATGCCAGGGAGCTTGTCAAGTCCGAGTTGGCTCGTTCCAGCGTTGCATTGTGGGCTTCCAAGGCCAGGACTTTGCATTTCCTGTCCGCAAGCTAGCAGGCAAACGTGGTGTTACAGCGCATTCGTCGTGGAATCGTAGCGTTCACGCAAAGGGTTGAGATGTCTGTGAACGTCGGTAAGCTTGACGAACCTCACGTTCCATTGCTTCGATCGTTCGGGCGGCGTCTTTTGAAAGGGTGACCTTCAGTTCATTGAGTTGTCGTTGCGAGTCCGCGAGAGACGTATACGTATCAGCTAGTTCCTCCAGCGTGGTTTTGAACATGGCGGCCTGGACACCGCATCGTTGGACCTGACAAGCATGGGAAGAGCGTACGTGTCGTCGAGTGGATGTTCCGGTTGCATGTTCGAGGACGAGCCGCTTGAGTTCGACGACAGGGGCTGGGACCCCCAACTTGTCCCGAAACACCCCCAGAATAAAGTCCAAGTTGAGCATGACACTCGGGTTGTCACGAGCCTTCTTGACGAATGGTGTTTTCAGACGGCATGGCTTCATTTCGTCGCGCAGATTGTCGCGCTCGACCTGTAGGCGGTTGGCCATTGCAATCGATGTCGCAGCTTCGTCCATCGCGATGTCCCTTTCCAAACATGCCAGACGCACCAATTCGAGTGCGTCGACGACGTTGTGCTTGGGAGGATGGAGCAGCATTGCCGTGGCCTTGTCCAGCGGACGTGGCTGCGCCATTGTAACCGAATGTGAAACTTCCCCTGCTCCTGCCTCCCGCTCGACCGTCCACGAATTGCGGGACGACAATCACCACACCACCCTGGCCGTCTTTGCCACCGCGCCACTTGCAAAATGGGACCCTGAACGGTCATGTTCAAAGAGCTTCCATGAGCAATTCGTTGTTTAGCCTTTCTACAGGAGCCACAAGTTGGCCCAACGCCTCCACTTCGTTCGCCACATCGTGCGCGCTCGAGCGCATAGTCTACCAGGATTCTCTTCGTGCCAAGGTCGTGCCCGTTACGACCACTCTCTCTCTCTCTCTCTTGCAGGGAACTACGCTGACTTTGGTGTAATCCCTTGGATTCGGGACAGGTCGAGAGGTTGACAGGACCGTCTCGCTCTGGACAGCAGCAAAAGCATCGATTGTACCTCACACGAATGGAAATTACAGATAAGAGCGACAGAAGAGAATGTTCCTCGGCCGCAGCGATGTTTGGGTGAGCTACAGGTCAACGTCTGCTGGTCGCTCCTTCGTCTCCATGCTCAGAATCTACATACACAGGCGGCATCCATTCCAGTCTCACCAATCGAGGTGTTTACAGCGGACGTACTTGAAGAATCAACGACCTGAACGTGGCAGACGTGCCCTCGAATGTCCCTTTGGCCATGGCGGACGTCATGCCACAGGGGACCTTGTGACGGGCGGGCCTTACTCGACACCAGCTCCACCACAGTCAGTTCTATGCAGTCGTGGATCACAATTGCCACGGATACATCAAGATAACGCGTGGTTCTTGTGGCCGTACTAGCAAAAAGATATCGGCGAGGAGTGCCGCGCCGTCGAATGGAGCAGCTCTGGCGCCATGTACTCGCTGTCACCTTCGTTCAAGTCGTCGCTGGTAGCATTACCCGACGATGCATCAAGCTGCGCAAGCCCGAGGTCGCCAATTTACATGACGGATTTCGTGACGAGTAAGTTGGCAGCCCATCATAGCTATATAGACAAACAGGGCCCTACGACAAGACGGCAAGTGGGAATGACGTCGACGATGAATCCAGTGAACCTACCGAAGCAACATCGTGCAGGATTCACCAGCACAACGTCTCCTGCAACAACGATCGATCTGTCAAGCTTTTCAACGTCCCGAGGAGGCACAGTTCTGTTTGCATGTAGAGAGATGTCTAACAAAGCCGTCGCAAAACCGGGTGCAGCGCGCGTGTTCGAGGAAGAGGACGGAAGCAGTCATAGAACCCGATGACACGCAGCCGTAGATCCCGATGCAGCAGGTCGATGCGTTTCCATGGATAGCAGCTAGCTACCTACTCCGGCACCGATCTCACCGGCCGCGCAGTTTGAGCTCGGACTTTTTAATAGCGAAGCGGACGCCGTCGCCGTCAGTTACTTGGGAATCAAAGGATGCTGACGAGGGATTTGTGACGATGCAATCGATTCAGGGTTGGCACGACCGACGCGGCGCGGTGTAGCGCTGCGCCAAGCCGACGTTTCATCCATCGAGTAGTTCGAACCGGGGAGGTGGGGCATGTCATACGAGGCGCTTGTACACGTATGCTGTCCTCGCCTGACCTGCAACAGAAACACGACTATCCCCGGTGCAGTCGTCCATGGTTGCGCACAGGAAAGCGTTCGACCAATCGATACTGCTTGTTGTTTAAATCTGTCTTAGCAGGATTGCTTACTGTCGCATCCTGCAACTCGTCGCTGACAGCCTCGTCGAACTGCGCCGACATATTTACCCGAAGGCAAGGTGACTGCGGGGGGGGCATGCTTCGGACGGGCCATTCCTACCAGATGCGCTAGATGTGGCAAGGCGTACAGGTAACAGGTAGGATGGGAAGTGGCTCTTCGTGGTGAGCTTGCCTGGCGGGGACGCTAGCTGATATCAAACTCCCAGAATTTTCTACCTTACAGTCAATCAAAACGGGCCATGCTAATCCAAACTTCGACAACATTCATGCGATGGAGATGTGACGGACGCAGGAAGAGAGGTTGTCTCGACGATGCACAAGGAGACCAGCTAGTACTGCTCATTTCAATTCCTGTGTCATGACGTGCAGCCGACGACTTCAGCGAAAAAAGAGGATCACAGGGATAGCCCAGCTGATATCAAAAATAGACTTGGTTTCCGTGGCCGTGATCTTGCATGCAGCCTTCGCCAAGTCGGCCTCAAAGTGATGGACCACGCTCGAGCACCCCTCGAAGAGGTGTGGGAATGAAATCCAAACGTCCTATGGAGGCGAATAGCCACAACATCCACCATGCCCCGGCGGCGCTTTCAATCCCCCTCAAGCCCACCGACAAACCCGTAGCTCATTTCCCCCCCACGTTTTACAACACCATCGTCAAGGAGTACGCAACCAAGTACCTTGAGCAGATGCACGCACTCCCAACACCAGACAATATCGCCATGGTCATTGCCAACATGCCACTGCAAAAGTGTAGGGTGTCTGCAGCGTGGAAGTCCCGCGGGTGCTTGTCCGATGTGCTGACAATCGACGCGCGGTGGCCCCGGTCGACCGACCCACACGGTTCAAGCGGTGCCGTGGACGTGGCATTGCCCACCCTGTACGCGGCGCAGAGAGACTGCATGCGCCCTCATGCCGTTGTAGGTCGCCTCGTCCAAGCTCGCCAACAACCAACGACGGCCTCGGACGAGTGTTTGGCACCGACCTCGAGATCAACTACAGCGTCGAGCATGTTCAGTGGTCGTTCAACGACCTCAAACACCGCTATGTGTACCCTTTCAATCAGATTCACAAGGTGTGCCCGTCGATGTGCCGCGTCACTGGAGCCATGTCGATACTTAGGTGCCGATCGGCAACGATGCCCAGGGTTATCCCCAGGCTACATCTGTTACGTTCTCGCTCGTTCCCGAACGACGCATCTACCAGCCGTCGCAAGCTGCCCTGGACGAACTCATGATGCCTCCATCCACACTAACGTTCGAGGCCATTTCACGTACGATTTCTGTCCTGCTCCTTCACGAATATCCATGGCACGGCCATAGAGCTCCAAACGGCATTTTTCAATGTCGTTCCGTTCGACATGGTCGATATTCCAGACCCGAAAGACCAGCACCTCCTTCGACAGCACTTGACGTGCCCCGCGACGCTGCATCTCGTGGGCTTCCTGGCCCATTATCTGTACTGGACGGTTCTGCGACCATTAGCTGAGAAATGCGCCGCCATCCAAGCCAACTCAACCCCCGCCGCAGTGTCGACCAACCAAGCAGACCCGTTACCCCGTCGGTCATCGTCGTCGTCCCCCAGGCGTCGTAATTCTCTTCAGCATCCGTCGACACCCCCTTCCAAACTCATGCCTGCCGACATTGAGCAACTGCTCGTGTCGACCACCGAGTCGTTCGAGTCAATCAAAAAATCGCTGGCTGCGAGCATCCCGACGACCACGACCAAGCCGACACTACCGATGCTGCCGCTGTTTGTGCTCTCGCTACGGGTTGCCATCGACACGATTTTCCGCACGACATATCCCAAATGGATGGACTCGAGTACCCTGCGCATCGAGGTATGTTTTGTCCTCCCGCGCTCGTCCTGGCGCTGACAAGGACCGGTGAAGCCGACGCTGCTGGCATTGAGCAATCGCATGGACGCCATGCTGGACCCCCATGGGTACTACGACCGCATTGGAGCCATCGAAGCGTCAGCCGACGCGATTAATTTCATGAGAACCCACGCATTCAAGATGCAGAAACGACGGGGACCTCGGCTACGTGAAGCGTATTTTGCAATGTCCACAACCATGCAATCCATCATGCCCATGCCGTCTTCGGGAGGGCCTCGACGATTGCTAGTCGAGGGTGGTGGCGGAAACTACCAGAGATCCCGTCAACCATCGCGTTCAAGGACCAAGATATCTTCTCAGAAGGAAGGGCTGCCGTCGTCGCTGTTGTCGCTGGGAAATCGTCTCAAGTTGCTCAAACTGCACGACGATCGGGGGGCGACAGCATGAGATCGATTCCATTGTTTTTGGGGATGCCGTGCGTCAGCCGAAGCACGATCATGCCGGTCACACGTGCACATCTGAAATGACCTGGTGTACACCACCATGAAATGGTTCAAAACATTGTATCGAGCGTTATGGATTAAGGTTGGGCGTGGTTGGCGGCGGCGGCGGCGTCGAGGGCGGCCAAGATGCGAGCGGGGCTACCACGGGCATCCGTGACGAGCTGACGTCCGTCCTTGGTGACAATCTTGCCGGCGGCGTCCAAGAACACAAGGGTCGGGATCGTCTTGACTTCAAACAGTTGCTTCGCCAACACATCCTTTTGCTCGCGGTTCTTGAAAGGCAAGGCGTAGAAAGGCATTTCCCCGTAGTATTCGTCAAACGATGCGTCGTCTTTGTCCGACGACACAAACACAATCGCAACGTCCTTGATATCGTCGTCGACAAATTGGTCGTATGCGTCGCTCAAGAGCGGGGTGAAGCCGCGGCAAGGCGGGCACCAGTGCGCCGAAAAGTAGATGCCAACGTATTTCTTGCCGCCAAGGACTTGTTCCGTTGGGAGCACGCCGTCCTTGGTCTGGAGTTCGGCGCCAAAGTACGTCGTCCACGTCATGGTCGTTGCTGTGCTTGGGGAAAAAAGTCAAAGTGCCCTTCGTGACCATTCTGTCCGGATAATGCGGGTACGTTTTACTCGAGGACGTTCGAGTCGGGAATGTAGGTCCCCTTCCTCCGAAGTCGTCGTCGCCTTCCTGCGAAGTCGAACCACGTTACGTGAAGCGGCCGAGGTTCAAACCTGCGGCAAGGCGTTGCTTGCATGTGCAGGGGATGCTTGTGCTCGTACATTCGTCGATCGGTCCGTGGCCTCTGCAGGCCCAGCCATGCAAGCGGACACAGCGCTGCCACGTGGAGACCTCTGCCGTCATGATTCGTCCTCGATAGGATCCAATCATCCGACGGTATTGGATGCATAGCACCCAAACAACAATGGCAGCACTGCAGCAGGGTTTACGACTGCAGACGTGGGTGGTCGTGGGCCAAGGACACACGAATGTTGTCAACATCTCTTGTGACCATTTTCATCTTGTGGGCCGGCGGCGTGACGCGGGCAGAGTTGGGATGCATCCTCCACCCTCATAGCTCGACGTGAATGAGGAAGGAAAAACGATAGCGTCGACTGTCAATCGCGCGTTGCATTGATGTCGTTCATAAACGAAACACGTTCCGTCGGGAGTATGCAGGTCGTCGTAGCTACACGACTCGAACGGCAGCTCATACGGCAAGCGGCGGTCAGCGCCATGGGGTGGTACTGCGAGAGAAACCCACGGCTTTTTGGACCCTGTACGCAGAGAGAGAAGTCGCCATGAAAACTCGACAGCATTATCCACGCCGCCACCACGTCCGGTTCATAAACATGATGTATTAACGGCGTGCGTCGCCACCCGTGACGAGGGTGGTATACGTGTAGTTGAGGAACTGGTCTTTTGAGCCAGCCCAGACGCCCATCCCGCCCGCGTTTTCCCGACTCCACTTGGTCCACTGCGCCACGACTGCAGGGCTTGGGCCCGGCCCGTACGAACACCCTCGATGAAGGGGGTTCGTCGATTCGGTGCACACGGCAACGACCACTTTGGCCGGCGGCAGGACCGCCATCCACATGGCAAACGTGTCTGTGATTGCAGATTCGTACACGGCCTACGCCATGGATGCACTGAGCCACGTCCACCACCACATGTACGTGTACCTCCGCCTTGCCAACGTCCTTCTCGACGTTGTACGCCATCACATTCACCCAATCAACGAGGGCTTCGACCTGGCGCGGAAAGCACCGGCCCGAGACCGCGGCACATTTGTCCGCGACCGAGTCGTAGTAAAATGCAGCCATGGTCAAGAGCTTACCGCGGGGCTTGAGCGCCTTGGACAGCGCTGCCATGTACTCGACGACATGGTCTTGGTCGTACGTTCCAGCGCGATTCTCATCGTCGACATCGACCCCGTCAAAGTTGAATTTGTCTACCAACGCCACCGCACTCGCCGCAAACGTGTCCATGTCCGTGACTCCCGCGAGTTGATGGTTGTCGGTGTCTCCCCCGATGCTCACAAGCACGTCAATGCAGCGCCTACACAAACGCTGTCAAGCCTTCACGCAAGACGGACGACGTGTCCAGGGCGTGTTGGCCGCGGCACTCGTTTGTCGTTGAAATGCATTCGTACTGTTGTAATGACACAACACATCGACGCAAGGTGGCGTCGTCGCCTTGGAGCGTCAGCGACACCGCGCCGTCCTTGACCAGGGCAAAAGTCATGACAACGTGGGTGACGCCAGGTGGAATGGTCTCGCACCCCCCGACTTCACTGCCCCAATACAGCACCACGCGTGGAGCGTGGCTGCTGTTGTCCGACTGGCACATCGAGTTGTTACCCGACAATGGCCGTCGGGTCATTGCGATGGGTAGCGGTTTTGGCTGAAAGATCGACTGGATCGCGCGGAACATGCCGTCGCCGCTGCCGTAGACGCTCATGCCGCCAGCTGTCTGGGAATACGTTGTCCAGATCGAAATGTCGTCGGATGTTGGCCCAGGGCCGAAGCCACAGTCGGTGCACACGCCAATATTCAACTTCCCCGTGGCATTTTGAAGCTTGGCCTTCCATGGGTCGAGAAACCCTGCGATCGCATCCGCGTATATGTCCTGTACCAAACAACGTCACAACCATCGATCGAAGTGGAGATGCGATGCCCATGTAAATACCGCGGCGTAGACCGCGTCGTCGCTCACGCTGAACGCCATGACTGTAAGCCAGTCCACGACGTGTTGAACCCCTTCGGCAAAGCACCGAGTTCCGCAATTGAGCTTGGTCTTGTCCAGCTCACTGTAATACACATCGTAGCTCAACGTGGCGTTGAGGGCCTTGAGGGAGGCCGACAGCGCGGTCATGTACGAGAGCGTGGACGACGATTTGGACAAGTCATGGACGGTGATGCCGTCGAGTTTGAACTTTGACACAACTGCCGCCGCGTCCGCAGCGACAGTCGACGTGTTGAACATTTTGTCGCCGCCAATCCCGCCCAGTACGTAGATGCATCGCCTGGATCAGCATGTCGTGAGCCGTGGAATACTTGATGTTCGACAGGATGAATGAGCGTACTTGCGAAGGTCGCTGACGCACGACAACACGTCCACGTCGTTGAGCTGGAAGGACTTGGCCGCGAGGTCGGCGTACGTAAGCACAACATGCGTGACGCCTTCGGTGACCTGGCAACCATGTGAGAAGTCTGTCGTCGAACAAAGCTCGATGACGTACGGACGAACAGCCTTGGCGTTGAGATGGAATGTTTTGAATCAATCGCTTGCCTGGAGGAATGACGGGGCACGCAATGTCGCGAGGCGCTAAGGCGTTGGCGGCACTGTCAAACGCTTTTCGGGTCGCGACCTCGGCGGAGTCTTGGAACACGCCAGCGCCGAATAAGACTCCAACGAAAGCACCGGCCAAGAGCACCACTACGATAACACAAGGGAACCGCACATGAGAGATCGTCGTAGCAATCAAATCGAGTGCGTACGCCCCACAGCGATCTCGGCATGACGCTTCTTAAACTTCATGGCACGACAGCACCAGCTATGTGTTGCACACAATGACAAACCGGATATGACAACCGGACGACGACCATGTATCCGTCAAGGCCATGATCGTCCACCGTCAGGCGCACGCGATGGGATAGCTTTGGTCGCATCGTAGTTTGAGCGCCCTGGCGCCTCCATGCGCATGCGCACGTCTTGATGTGAAAGTCCACTCCATGGACGCGCACACGCACACCGATGCCGTTTGATAGCATCGTCCCATTGGCATCGCTGGCGCATCGACAAGCAGAGCCACCGACGTCTCCACGTCAAGGAATACAAAATGCTCCACCAAACTCGTTGACAAGGACCAAGGGTAGCAAAGGTTCCAAACTTGGATCGCCGTGTCGGGTCTAGGCGCGAATGTCAACAGTCCGTGCTAGTGGGTCACATCAGACGACATGTCCAAACTGCACCGTCCAGATCATGTTTCATTCTTGGTTTATTTGTCAATGAACTATGCATTGATGGCGGGGGAAATGCTCGGCGCGTAACCTGCAACGGCAGAAAATGACACACGCGTGTCCTTGTCTTCGTCAAGCAACTTGTTTTTGAACTCGTCGTCCATGACTTCGCTGCCCTCGTTGTTGTCAAACATGCAAAACCACGTCAAGACGATCGTGGCGAGCGAGATGGCGGCAAAGGTGTAGAACGCGCCGGCGTAGCCAAAGCTCGGGTTCTTGACCCACAACGAAAACCCGTACGACCCGATAGACGCCCCCGCTTTGCCCATGGCGGCCGAAAAACCGTGGCACGAACTCCGGATCGCCGTCGGGTACATCTCGGTCGGCATCACGAACGTCGACATGTTGGGCCCAAAGTTGGAGAAGAACAGAGTCAAGCCAAACAGAATCACAAACAGCCACGCCGTCTGCTTGATGTCTTCCCACCAGATCGCGAGCACGAGGAAGATGATGGTCATGACGACCAGCCCCTGCAGCTGGATCAGCTTGCGGCCCATCTTGTTGATGAAGCACACGGCCGTGTAGTACCCCGGCAGCGCCACCAGCGCGATCAGCAAGTTTTGCAGCGCGATCGTCTTGAGGTCGCTCTTGGCGCCAACCACCGACAGGATGCTGGCGCTGAACAGGTTTTGCGCGTAAAACACAATGTCAAACAAGAACCACGTGCCGGCCGTCCCCAACAAACTCTTGCCGTAGTGACGCAGGATGAACGATCACCGCACCTTGGCCACGTGCACGTCGCCAGCCAGCATGTTCTTGTACCCCTCCGTTTCTTCCGCCGTGATGCGAAAGTACACGAGGAACAGCGCGGGCAACACGCCGAAACCAAACAAGACGCGCCACATCACTTCCAGGTCGTGCGCGTTGTCCTGCAGGACGTTCACCATGAGCAGCCCCATGAGGGACGCCGCCGCGAAACCCACCCCCTGCAACGAAAACGTCAGCGCCACGCGCCGGTTGCGGTCCTGGGGAGACGTCGCATCTTCCGACGACGACGCGGCTGCCAAAGGGTACTCGCCGCCGATGCCGAACCCCAGCAGACCGCGCGCAATCACCAAGAACCACAGCGTGTTCACCGCCGACCCGCCGTACGCCGCCGCACACATGATGCCACCCACGATCAGCAACGCACACGTTGCAATCATGCACTTCTTGCGGCCGTACACGTCCCCCAAGAACCCAAACGCCAGCTGGCCCAGCACCGCCCCGATCAACGCCGCCGCCGACACGTTCGACTTCATGCTGGCGTCGTACACCTTGGTCGTGTACTGATGCTCCAGGATCACGTTGATAATGTTGATCACGGACAAGTCGTACGCGTCGTTGAAGAACCCGAGGCCGCGGAGGAAGAACTTGTTGATCATCGCGGTTGCGCTCACGGAAACGAATGTGTTATGTTGAATGCGCGCCGGTGGAATATCGATGATTTGACGTATTGTTCGGCGAAACGTACAAGATCATCTAAATTTCTAACGCAGATTCACATGTGCTCTCCATGCGACTTTGTTGCCAGTGGAGGGAATCTGACGGTGCAACTTGCAAATGTTCGACAACTGCTTGGGGTGGACGTCGACGCGGCTAGAATTGACGGGAAGAGTGGGTTGCAGAGCACCCGCAGTGACATAATTCCATGTTGCTCATGACAGGTTCCGGAGAGGGAAGTTGCTTGGGCAGAATCAATATGGCGGCAACGATGGTGCCAGCAATTCGATCCAAGTGTGAGCCATAAGATTGTTGTTGAGCCAAACGATTGTTATTGACTGCAATGAGAGCTGGCGCCATGTGCACTCGTCCAGGCGACGACAGGACCACATCTCGCGTTCGGTCGGAGGGGCGCCGTGTTTGTACTTTCGTGCCGCGCTGGCGGAAGGCATCGCGTTGAAATACGCCCCAGCCGCATCGATGCGCGATGTTGACGACAGTGGGCAGATCTCGCATCGGTTACATCGGTTTCACCAAAGAGTTTCGCGGGGCGGAAGCGCCATGCCGTCGAGAGCCGAGTCCGCGGACGACGACGACCTGGACGTGTACGAGTCGAATCCTTTCGATGATTCTGTTTGCCTGGAAAAACACGGCGGCAACAATCAAATCTCCGACTCGACATCGTCGACAAAAGCGACGAAACTCAGCACGTTCGACTTTCAAAAGTGGGTTGCACGGAAAGACAAATACGAGCGAGTACTGCAAGCGCTGCAATCGCTCTCGACAGATCGTGCCTCGAATGACACGCAATGGTTTGACTGTGCCGTTGCGTTGGCAGCAACGGATTGCCTGCTCAAAGTTGGTCGAACAGACAAGTGTGACTGCGAAGGGGTATGTTCTGACTGTCTCGGCGTCGTCGAAGCCGCTTGTTACCATGTGCAATGTAGATTTGCCGTGATCCAGAACATGCTGTGTCCAAGCAACGATCGCGCTGCCAGTGTCCAGCTCCAAAATGCTCCATTTGCAACCGGTGCATCGGCACGACAGTTGGTACGTCAGGGTCACCCTTGTGCCACTTCAGATCAAGGTTTGCGCAGGCGTGATCACGGAAAAGATGCAAGAAATTATGCGACTTTACCGCGGGAAATCGCACGACAGTGATTTGGAAATAGCGCAGCAAGTCGCCGACATGGGGGAAGGACAGCTCTTGAACAGCGTCAAAATCACCGGACTCGCCATGCGGATGGCCAAGTCAGTGTTGGCGCAGTGCAGTGTGCAGCTTGGACCCGATCAAGCCAAAATTCAGCGCCCTTGTTCGTGTCCGATGCGCTCGTTGGGTAAATTTGACGCCGCGTTCATCGTTCGTAAATTCTCTCGGCAGGCGATCACTGGGTGCGGTGGACGAAAGCCAACCATTCATTCAACAAAGTGCGGCTATCGGAGACGCAAGCGAAGAAGTTTGGAGGCGCCACACGACAGTTGATGGAATTCATGGAAGACGAGAACGTGTATTTGCTCACAATTAAGTGGCGCGTGGCTGCCAAGCCTCAGAAAGGCGACACAGCAAAAATTGCAGCTCGTCGGTGCCTCTCAGCAGACGAAAAGAAGCTCAATGTGGTATGTCTGGAACGTTTTCTTGGCTCGTTCATGCCATGGATGGTTGGCAGGTGTTCAAAGCGCTTTGCAAGAAGTACTGGATGCAAGCACAACACCGAGTGGTCGAGTTGTTGCGTGAGAAGATCGAAGCCATGACAAAATGCGCTGGCGACAAGGGCGATGATCGGAGGCCGTCCAAGTCTGTGACCGAGATGGAGACAAGCGTGTTGACCAACATAGGCGTCAAACGAATCATCCAATGGGTAGAAGACGACAAAGAAGCCGTGCAGGCCAAGGAGGACGAGGCTCAAAAGGAGAAGCAAGAGGAAGGCGCGGTGGCCCACAACGTATGCACTCCTGCAAGAGTTGGTACAGCACACACGCCCACCCCTGACTATGTAGGCGTGGGTCAAGCGAAAGGATCGATTGCGGGTGAGAATCCCCGTGTCGCCAACAAACAGAGGAAGTGCAATCAAGCCGATGTGGAAACCGCCGCGATTTGACTTTAGCGCTGGGGGCGTTGTCCGTCCGAAAAAGATGGACATGCCATCGTGCGCGGTAGACCTCATGCGAAACAGTGGCCTCAAATATGTCCACGCGATGTCGGAGGGGTTCCAAGGTCGGGGGGGCGATCTAGACAAGTGCCGCGAAGTGCTCATCAAGCAGGGACACGTGTACAAAAGCAATTTCAACGTCGACGACCCGGACAGTGCGTTTTCCGAAGATCGGTACGTTAAGCCCGACCAGCAGAGACAAACCCTTTGCCATTCCGTTGGAACCAGGTACCATTTTGAGAAGCAAGCCAAGAAAGGCGCGGGAAATGTTGTTGTCGGGGGGGTGACGCGCGAGGAAGGCAGCAAAGAATCGTATGCGCTTTGGATTGCGGCAAAAGCTCGACGAGACAAAGCCGTTGCGTTCCTACAACACATTACAAAACCAAAAGACTTGGAGCCCGAAGAGTCCCCGGCCACACGGTGGCGGGACGTCGGCCAAGCACTCAAGGGCGTTGATCGGGTATATCTCTCTCTCTCCACGGTGAATCGACGCTTCCGGCCAGTTGTTGAATGCTGCCTTTGCCACGTCACGACGAACAAGCTTGCCGTGTGTCTCACGCGATGTGAATGGTGATTTGTAGTCGCTGCTGACGGCATGGATGTCGTGGTCGGACGGGTTTATGTCCCAAGGACGGTGCCGCGTATTATGGGAAAGCTTTCCGCCGATTGCGTGTGACGTTCACTCGACGTCGTCGGCGATCCGCGATATCTTTCTCAAGTTGCTCCATCGAAAGGAAGTGGACTACAAGGAGGCGTTCTTGGCGTTTGCAAATCGTAAACACATTCAAGCTGTCAAAGCAGGCGTGGCCGAAGACATGAACGACGAAGACAAACTCCAAACTTATGCGCAACTTAGTGCCAAAGAGTTTACCAAATTCTTGGCCACGCTCGGGATTCTCTTGCAGCCCGAAGAATGCGATCGCATCGTCGAGTACTTTGATGCAAACGGTGACGGCACCATCACCATGCAGGCATGCAACTCTCGTAAAGCACGACGGGGATGCCACGTTTAAACGGTTGCACTAGGAATTTCTGGCCGTGACAGGTGACAAGCGCCTCACCCAGTGCCATGGAGACACCGAGTTGGCGCTCAAGGACGTGTGCATGTGGGAAACCGTGTGCCACGAATGCGGCATGTTGAATGCGTTCCAAATGGTGGTGAACTTGAAGAAGGACAAGCAACGTGTGAGAGCCGAACTACCTGCGCATGTCAAGCGTCGGCAGCTGAGTCAATTTCAATGCCATCCCGTACTCAACATGCGCGAAGTCAAGGAGCAAGCTCCGTACGCGTGTGACTATGCGGTACGCACGTGCCTCGTCGAAATGCATGCACAATGGACTCTCTCGAGTCCAGGGATGGACACCGGACAAAGCGCAAGATTGCGTATCCAAGCTAGACCTGTGGTCCGTTAAAAACCGCGAGCGACAAGCGCTTCAACGTTTGGTCACCCAAGGTAGACTATGTGTGTCGTGTAACCCAACATGATGGCGTGTGTGTGCAGGCTCTCCACCGGAAGCGCCGACGCTATTCAAAGACGATGACGCGACGTTGGACCCGACAACAATGCTGCTGTTGCGTTGGCATCCGCCTCCAGTCCACGGCAACAACGGCGCTGCGTTTTACATGTTGGAAACGTCTGGAGCTGGTGCTCGTCGCCCCACACCATGGGAATCAAGTTGGCTCACGAGGCACTTTCATAGAGGGGTCGGCAACGTACAAGCAGAACGTATTTCGCACACTCGTGCGCGACCCGCAAGACTTTCACGACAATCAGGGCGAACCTCGATACCACTTTGTCGTCACCGGCCTCACGCCCAACACAAAATACGCCATGCGACTACGTGCGTTGAATGCGTTCGGCGCTGGTCCTTATACGTTTGGGTACACCACCCACGTTGGAATGTTGCGCGGTCTTAGCGTACTGACGACAGGTACTTTACGACCGTCCCCTCGGCGCCCCCTGCCCCTATTTCGACCCGAGTGACGTGGAATAGCATCCACCTCAGCTGGAACACATCCATTTGGTACGTTCGCCAGCAGTCACGATGACAGCACTCTAAATTGCTCACGTGAAGGTACGAAACACAACTCAAGGAACTGCGGCAAGTGTTTGATGAAGCGGATGTTGACCACAACGGCGAGATTTCCCGCGACGAATTTGTTGAGGAAATTGAAAAACGAAAGCCACGTGTGCTCGAATTCCTGCAAAAGACGACGGTTGCGACGGCAGACGCGACAGGTCCGTGGAGGAAGCGTGGCCTCTCAGCCGTTGACGGCGACACTTTTGTCAGGGGTGCCACTGAGCATGTTTGACCTGATTGAGACCAACGACAGCAATTCAATTTCGTGGCAAGAGTTTGTCCAAATGTTTCAAGCATCGATCGATTGGGACACAGCGGATAAACCGACAAAGCCTTCCGGCAGCGGTCCGCCGTCCACGGTGGCGTCCAAGCAGCGAGGGGCCGCTGTCCGAGTCAACCGAACGCGATACGTGCTCAAGCAGTGCGTCGACGAAGTTGCCGGCACATACTCGGAAATATACCGAGGCACCAAGCCGTATTTTGTTGTGCTTGGTCTGGCCGCAGGCACGGCGTACCAATTTCGCGTGCAATCGCTCAACGAAGACGACGTGGCGTCGCTCCACAGGTCTACATGACATGGATCACGTTGACGTCCCTGACATGCCAATGTAGTGCGGCGACGGTGGTGCATACCGCTCTGACGACCCCGCAGGCGCCGGTCGTGACCACGTTAGGAGACTCTAGTGTGACGTTGCAGTGGGCCGAAGGAAGTGCGCAGGCCAGCGACCAGTTGACGTTGGCTCAAAAAACAAAACGCATGAAGAAGGGCGCAGTGCTGGACGATACCGTCCACCGCATGCTGAAAGAATGGGCAAAGGAGACAAATGTCGACTCTCCGACCATTGACTTTGCCGGAAAGTTCAAGCGGTGCGGCTTGCATGACGAATCAAGTCGGATCTCATGGCACGTCGCTGCTGTAGCTACGACGCCGACGGTAGCGGGTACATCGAGTTATCCGAGTTTAAAACGCTGTTGACTGAACTGGGCGTGTCTCCAACTCCGGACCGCGTCCAAGCGTATTTGACGGAATTCGACACCAACAACGACGGCAAGATTTCGTTTGAAGAGTTTAAAACGTGGTGGAACAAGGACGATGTCGAGTATGTCCTCAAGCGGTCATCGTCGTCATCGACAGACACGTCCGTCGTGTGCTATCGAGGCCCTGGCACGACAACTACCATCGCGGGTCTTACACCCAACACGCGCTATGTGTTTCGGCTTCGACATGTCGGTTCCCATGCAACGTCCGGTTTGAGCCCAGCATTGTCGGTCATGACGTTGCCGAGGCTACCGTCACCGGTACTCGATCGAGCTGGACTGTCATGCCACGGGTTGATTCTCCCAACAGGTCGGCGTGATCGAAGCGCTGTCGACAAAATTAAGAGTGAAGTGGCACTCGGGAGCGTATGGCGCCGATCGCTTTCTTGTCGAGTACAAATGGGCTGAAAGTTTGGACGCGAAGAAGACGGCCAAGCCACTTGCTGCAATCACGTCCAAGGACACTTGGGTTGTGGGCTACGAGGGCCACGACACGGTCGCGACGTTGGTGGGACTTGCTGCCAATTGCGTGTACCGAATTCGAGTGCGCGCATCCAACGCAGACCGAGGTTGGAGTAACTATGGAAGCATCACGGAAGCATGCACGTGTGCGAAAGATCCATCGATGAAGCCATCGGCGGCCGCCGAACGGTTGACGAATTTGGTGGCAAGGTAGTGCTGACGGACAACGTAGGTTCAAAGTCGAAGTGGGCGGTCCAGGGCAGATGGTGGTCGGAGACACGATTTTGTTCACAGAGCGGTTGTATTTGGGCGACAAGGGCAAGGTCATGGAGGACGAAGAGCGGCGCGGAAAGTCCAAGTCGTCCCATGGAGGCACGGCATCGCTTACTAACACTTGTGGTCATGATGGTCGGCGTTTCGATAGGCCAAGAGTGTGTCGGTGAGCGAACAATCGCAGCCAGAGTGACCAAAGTTGTCGTGGATGCATTCGCGGTGCGGACGGTCGTGATGCTCGAAGTCGTTTGGTCCACTGTACTCTTTTACGACCCAATGCAGCAGAAAACGATGGCGGCCACGGCTACACTACAGCCAGACATAAAGATTGCTCGCGGGGAAGCGTCCATACTCAAGTACGAAGCGTTTCGATTGCCATGGCAGGACGAAGTCGCCCGGAATCCCCACGTCGCGATGAAAGGAGCGGGGTCAGGATGGGAGACCTGGCAAGAGGCAAATGCCAAGGACACTTGACAATGCATGGATCTTTAATATGAACGTTTAGCGGACAAGGTGTTCACTTTGTCCACGAGAAGCTGGAGGTTGGAGTAGAAGAGGTGGCAGCGAATGGGCATTTCGAGCTCGTAGAACGGATTCTTGAGCACGTAGTCTGCGTACAACTCGTAGATTTGGCGCAACACAGCCTCCAACTCGACGCTTGATATGTTGGGGAGTGCCGTGATGAAGAACTTTGTCCCTGTCAGCGTCTGGAAACATTGCAACCGGAACGAGTCCGTGTCCATGGACACAATTCCTTTGGACGCCACAGGCGCAGCCAGCGCTGCGATGGCATGGATGCTGTGAAACGTGGACCCAAGGCGCAAGCGATCATTGCTGCTAATCTTGGGTGCGTCCGAACTCAGGTCTTGTTGGTACACAACCCCTCCCGCCTTGTTGATCACAAACAAAGACAGCAGCATGCCGGCGGACAGTGTGCTGATGAGGAACACAAGGATATCCGGATAAAACACAACGTCGTCCGGGATATCCGGAGACGCATCATGCCCCGGTCGTAAAGTTGCCAAACGGCGCCGCCGTAAGGCCAGACCAAGAAGTCGATGAAGCATCGCTTGGTAAGGTTCCTCTGTCCACGCCTTCTTGGAGTATTTGACAATTGTTCGACCGGGTCATTGGGCATGACACCGCCAAGCCCATTTGGAGCTTGCAAAACGACGACGACGCGCCTGGTCAACCAGGCGAGGGGGACCGAGCCTCTGCAACGACACCGACGTAAGAACGTCATTAGGACACTGGCTCAATATCGACACAGCCAACGTCGAGCTACGAATGGCACATTGCACGAATTCACATGTACCATATTGGACCATGCGAACCCTCCACACATTCCAAAGTTGACATCGTCCGTGACTTGGACAAACGAGTTGAAAGTGTCCTTGTCTTCGTCAACTTGTTCTTGAACTTATCATCCATCATTGTTGTTGTCAAACATGCAAAACAACATCAAGACGAGCGAGATGGCGGCAGAGGAGTTGAAGGTGCCTCCAAATCTCGGGTTGTTGACCCACAACGAAAACTTGTACGACCCGAAGGGCCCCCTTGCCTTGCCTGTCGTGGCCGAAAACCCGTAGCATGAACACCGGATCGCCGTCGGGCACGCTTCGGTCGGCATCACGAACGCTGACATGTTGGGCTCGAGGCGCCTTCTACGCCTTTTGCCTCCATCTCGTTCGACACCATCGTCTTGACGTGATTCTGCATGTTTGACAACAACGAGCACACAAGATGCCGCCCACGAACAGCAATATACACAAGACACTGCCCACGATCACAGCAACGCACACGTTGCAATCATGCACTTCTTGCGGCCGTACACGTCCCCCAAGAACCCAAACGCCAGCTGGCCCAGCACCGCCCCGATCAACGCCGCCGCCGACACGTTCGACTTCATGCTGGCGTCGTACACCTTGGTCGTGTACTGATGCTCCAGGATCACGTTGGTGATGTTGATCACGGACAAGTCGTACGCGTCGTTGAAGAACCCGAGCCCACGGAGGGAAAACGTGTAGATCAACATACATCTGTACCTGTTCGTTCGAGACGACTGAATTACCTGCGGTCCCCTTGAGGGGATGTATTCGATATGCGTTGTTCAGACAGGGAAGTTGTCATTGCTGCCTTGGTGGCCCTTGCATTCACCCAGCGACGACTCGAATGTCGGAGGTCTGTTTGCCTCGAACAACGGCGAGCTCTCCATTGCAATCATCCGAGGGGGTACTTGGGTGGCCCGACATCTGAACAAAACTCAATCGCTGCAGACTGTCGGAATGGCCGTTGATCATGTATATACGTTCAAAGGATGACGAGGCTGCCTCCCGACAGCCCAGGCAGTTTCCGGCGCAAATGGCGCCGGCTCGCTCGGTGGACCCTGAAGCAAGCCATGGCTCAAGACGTGTTGCGGAGTGGAGGCGCCAGCGACGTAGTGGCTCTGTCGTATCCAGCGAATCGCCTGCGACGTCGCCCACCAGATGGGTTGTGCTGCCAGGTGATTCTCGATCAGCGCTTCTGATACTGTTGCATCGACAAAATACCAGCCACGCAAGACACGTAACATTTCATTTTT